TAGAAATTTTTGCAAATTTATTAAAAAAGAAAAACTGAAATATCACATGGTCATAAGTATTCAGACCCTTTGCTGTGACACTCATATTTAACTCACATGCTGTCCATTTCTTCTGATCCTCCTTGAGATGGTTCTACTCCTTCATTGGAGTCCAGCTGTGTTTAATTAAACTGATTGGACTTGATTAGGAAAGGCACACACCTGTCTATATAAGACCTTACAGCTCACAGTGCATGTCAGAGCAAATGAGAATCATGAGGTCGAAGGAACTGCCCAAGGAGCTCAGAGACAGAATTGTGGCAAGGCACAGATCTGGCCAAGGTTACAAAAGAATTTCTGCAGCACTCAAGGTTCCTAAGAGCACAGTGGCCTCCATAATCCTTAAATGGAAGAAGTTTGGGACGACCACAACTCTTCCTAGACCTGGCCGTCCAGCCAAACTGAGCAATCGTGGAAGAAGAGCCTTGGTGAGAGAGGTAAAGAAGGACCCAAAGATCACTGTGGCTGAGCTCCGGAGATGCAGTAGGGAGATGGGAGAAAGGTCCACAAAGTCAACTATCACTGCAGCCCTCCACCAGTCGAGGCTTTATGGCAGAGTGGCCCGACGGAAGCCTCTCCTCAGTGCAAGACATATGAAAGCCCGCATAGAGTTTGCCAAAAAACACATGAAGGACTCCCAGACTATGAGAAATAAGATTCTCTGGTCTGATGAGACCAAGATTGAACTTTTTGGCGTTAATTCTAAGCGGTATGTGTGGAGAAAACCAGGCACTGCTCATCACCTGCCCAATACAATCCCAACAGTGAAACATGGTGGTGGCAGCATCATGCTATGGGGCTGTTTTTCAGCTGCAGGGACAGGACGACTGGTTGCAATTGAAGGAAAGATGAATGCGGCCAAGTACAGAGATATCCTGGAAGAAAACCTCTTCCAGAGTGCTCTGGACCTCAGACTGGGCCGAAGGTTCACCTTCCAACAAGACAATGACCCTAAGCACACAGCTAAAATAACAAAGGAGTGGCTTCAGAACAACTCTGTGACCATTCTTGACTGGCCCAGCCAGAGCCCTGACCTAAACCCAATTGAGCATCTCTGGAGAGACCTGAAAATGGCTGTCCACCAACGTTCACCATCCAACCTGACGGAAATGGAGAGGATCTGCAAGGAAGAATGGCAGAGGATCCCCAAATCCAGGTGTGAAAAACTTGTTGCATCATTCCCAAGAAGACTCATGGCTGTACTAGCTCAAAAGGGTGCTTCTACTCAATACTGAGCAAAGGGTCTGAATACTTATGACCATGTGATATTTCAGTTTTTCTTTTTTAATAAATTTGCAAAAATTTCTACATTTGTTTTTTCTGTCAAGATGGGGTGCTGAGTGAGAAATAAAATGAACTTTTTTGATTTTAGCAAATGGCTGCAATGAAACAAAGTGAAAAATTTAAAGGGGTCTGAATACTTTCCGTACCCACTGTACATACACACACATACACGTGTGTGAATGAAATTAAATAGTTATTGATAAATTAATTACAAGAACTATAACTGATTGAAAATGAGTTATTAGTAACTGATTTAATTAACTGATTATTAATATAGAAAAACAATATTATGAAAAAGATCTGAATTAATTATTGAATATAAGAAAACTGATTAAAACACTAAACTAAAACCTTTCAGTATATATACTGAATAGGTTTTAGTTTAATGCATTTATATGTATATATATATTTATAATCCTGTTGAGCAGGGATTTTAGGGACAGGAGCAGCAAGAGGGGGGCGGGGCGGGAACAGCTGTTGACGCAAACGGGAAGTCCTCTGTGGCTAGGCACGTCTCATTTCGTAGACCGCACGGTCTAGCCTACCGGTCCTCAAAGGACGCGCCACGTAGACCGCGAAGGCTGGGTCCTCCGAAGGATGCAGCCCCTGAATTGAGACACAGCTAGTGGGACAGCCCTAAACCCTCACGGACTTCGCGGGAGTGCGCCTCAAAGTCCGTGAGTCCATAAGGGGGGACATTGGGATTTGGCCATAGTAGTCATGCCTTAGAATTACAATGTCCGTTTAGTCATGTGGCCCCAAAAGTATTTTTACCATACACTTTCCCATAGACTTACATTGTCTATGGGAGTTAGATCAGCAGATGCGGGTTGTTTTAAGGTTTGTCAACTTCCCAGTGCAACACTTGAATAGCCCTTATTTAATTCATTGGTAGTAACATTACATTAGTCATTTAGCAGACGCTTTTATCCAAAGCGACTTACAATAAGTGTATTCAGTAAAAGTTGTAAAATGTACCAATAGTCCTTCCTCCGTTCATGTGAATGACCTCGAGAAGGAGGCTGGACCGAGGGCATGGGGCGGTGATGAAGAGCATGCCCCCCCCCCCCCCCCGATTTTATCCCCGGAAATAAACTTTTTTTTTTCTGCATTGTGCGTCATTGAGCAACCTTCATAGAAATGAATAGGGCACCTCCTCCACCGCTGTACCCAGTTCTATTAATACACCCCTGTGCCACTCCCTACCCAGAGATGTCGATTCAATTTAGGCGCACAGCTCCGCGCACTAGCATTGAGATGCACGTGAGAGAGCCTTCTCGTTCAGTTATTGGGTGAACGGACCGTTACCGCGGTATAGAGAGCAGTTGAAACAAAACGCAAACTCTTCAAAAACAGTTGTTTTGTTCTGTCGTGTTTTTATAAATAGCTATTGAAGTGGCCACGCAGCAACTAGTTGAACATGCTACGTTCATCTTTACGTAACACAAGCACTGTCATGGAAAATATTTGTCATAGTTTTGTGTAACTAACATAACGAGTTGCCAGCCGTCCCGGGAGTCTCCCTCCCACGAACACTTTCGTAACCAGTGAAACACAGTTGAATAAGGCGAGGAGAATATGCCATAAGTTAGAACAAATAAAACGTGTTACACACAGTTTAACATTACGTTGAACGAGCCCGTGTCGGGAGTATTTCAGGACCCTAACCTGAGCCGTAGAAAACACTCCGGTGTCTGAATAACGTTATTGAACTCACCTCTGCCCGCTCCAGCCAACGCGTTAACAATTAAAACGGCAACAAAAACCACCGCACACAAGATAAGAACCACGATACGTGGCAGGCTGTTGTCCTTCATGTTGGTACAGCTCGTCTGTGTAGTTCGTGGGTCTGCTGGGTAGCTGTCTCTGACCGTCGGGGCGGAGGAAGACACGCTGATGCGTTCACGTGTCGAGCTCTGTGTGAACGCCCGAAGCCTGGGAGCAAACGTTTGTAACAGACAAACGAAGTGAGGAGTTCACTGGGAATCAGACTTTTGACTGTCCATTTCTGATACGGTAACACTACTAACTGCACATAGGGCTTAAAAGGGCCTTTCTTCATATTGAGGATTTTGATGCAAGTCGCATTTCATTCAAATATCCACGTTGGTTAAGAACATACACTCACCGGCCACTTTATTAGACACACCTGTTCAATTGCTTGTCAACACAAATAGCTAATCAGCCAACCACATGGCAGCACCTCAATGCATTTAGGCCTCTAGACGTGGTGAAGAGGACTTGCTGAAGTTTAGAGTGAGCATCAGAAAGGGGATTTATTAAGTGACTTTGAACATGGCAGGGTTGTTGGTGTCAGACGATCTTCAGGCTGATAACACCATGACGAACTGGAGGAATACAGCTCAACAGCATGTACCTTTTCTCTGGCCATGTTGTGAGATCACATTCAAATATTGGCTATGGTCATTTATTGGCTTCACTTTGAGTAGAATAGATTCAAACAAACAGTCATAGTTACTTTTTACATACTTAGTTCTAAAACTATAAACAGCAAAGGTGTACATCACCAATTTGACACAATGCTCAGTTTACACATAAGGGCCTGTGAAATGAGTTGCTGCACACCAGTTTGAGGTTGAAGAAAAAAACTATCATAATCATCATATGTGTACTTGAAATTTGACCTCTGTATTTAACCTATTTTAGGAGGACACTTTGACATGTGGAGCCGGGTATCGAACCCCCAACCTTGAGATTTAAGGACTCTTTATCATGTGGAACCGGTATCGAACCACCAATAAGCTGGGATCACAACACACACAGAGGGAGAGCGACTCCATCCTCTACTCAGGCAGACATTACTACACCATGTCTTTACATATATAGTTGTTTGCTTCCATATCAACGCTCTGTATGTCATAAAGAGCAGCTTTAACAGTTAGCTTGTGTTTTTCTGTTGACTTAAATTGGCACTAGTTTTAGTCAAATATGGGCAAGTTTGAAGCTGCTCTAACTGATGTTTTTGTCTGCTGCCTGGTTAGAAGGTAAGATACAGTTGTAGCTGATGACACCTGCCTGACGCAAGCTAAAAGAAGCTGATTATATAGTAGAATTCTTCATCGCTACCAGCGGCCACTTATAGTCATTTAATCCATTGTTCTAATAATGTGAGCAGCATTAAGCATGTCTGTTTTGGAAAACATCTTCATAAACCCATAGTTGGATGAGAAAGCAGTATGAAACGCACACACACTACTGTGGTATATCCCGTTACATGCAGCTGCTGCTCTCCAGCATCACTGTCCCGAGCTCCACTCTGACTCTCTTATACTGCATCCAGGTCAAACTCATGTAGTTAACCTGGCCCCCTTTGATCCTATTAACTCTACAACCTGCTGTATCTCACATCCTCCATCGGCTGCCTCGACTCTCTGGAATTGTACACATTTGTTTTCTTTTAGGAGAAGTGAAGTGGAAACTTTGACTTCAATAACTACAGAGAATATACCTTTAAACTTCAATATTCATGGGATCCGTTGACTGTACTTTAATTAGTCATGACCAACAGCCCCAAAACAGGTTTCAGCTTTTGGCGATAAAATATAAATTGACTTAAAGATTCATTGCAACAGCCTCTGACGTGTCATTTTTTTATGTGGTTGTTTGTATCAAACGGTACATCCACTACATCCAGAAGTGACACGTGTGTGTATGTTTGTTAAGAGGCCTTTGGTTGGCAGTCCTGAGTCTCAATGCTGCTGTTTTCATAGTCTTTGTGTACGTCCAGTGGTCCATACAGGCTCTCCAACACAGCCAGTACTCTGCTCTGGACACAATCCACCTGCTCTACCGGACAGTATTCATCCAGACTGGACCTGAAAACACACACGGTAACAAACCCATTGAACCTTTCTCCCTTTACTCCTATACCTTGAACAAGATAGGCTTGAATTCAAATTTGAGCTATGCGTGGCTGTATTATTTACCTGGACATAGTAACAAGTGTAGGTTTGGGCACAGCCTTCAGAAACAGCTGTACAGCTGAGATTAGTCTGTTGATCTCCTCATCGGTGCTGATGTGGTGAGGCAGCTCAACAGTGTCACAGGTTAGCCCCGCCTGATGGACCTGAGAGAGCAGCAGGGTTGAAGGAGGGGAGAGTGACAAAAACATCAGGAGGGATGGATGGAAAAAGCAATAGAGAGTCAGGATGAGGGGGACAACATGGAAGAGAAGAGAAGCTAGGAGATTAGATAGAAAGTGTGATTCAATACACTCGTATGGAACTTGATATCTATCATTTCATTTGAGTTATCTATGCCTTTACTTTGAAAGGCACTGTACTATCATTATCATTACAAAATCATTTCTGAATGTTTCATTTACATCACATAAGTTAAATGTCCAACTGTCATTTTGAGTGAGCCCTTCCCTCCCAATGGTGCAGTCTTTAAGGTCTTCATCAGGCAAACCACCCATGATCCTAAAGTAATCTCTGTACATACAAACACAGGTGAGTGAGTGTCTTTACTGTCTACTGGTTTCTCTCTCTGATCTCTGCGTTTCACAGAGGGCAGAGCTTAGACATGCACATTCAAACACGCACCAGTCCACTACCTTGTTGCTCTAGCTATTAATACGAAGTGACACACTGAGATACACAGTCATTGACAGGTGATTCACAACTGTAATCAGCCACTTGAGGTTCACATCTCTATCAACAATTCCAGTAACAGTTGTTGTAACAGTGGCACATACAGTTGTAGTACATAAGTCAGTGTTTCCCCTACCATTGTATGAGGGGGGTGCCCCGCCCCCCCTTGAAGGTAAAGTTAATTTTGTTTAATTATATTTTCTATATAGCGCCAGATCACAACAGAAGTAATTTAAGGTTCCCTTTCCTATAGAACAGGTCTACACCGTGTTCTTTTATTAAACAAACTAAACAGCCTTCTGTTATTGATCTTATTGACACGACATGTCATTTCTGTGGTCGCGCGTTTACAGTTCTCCTCTGCTCTCTGTATCGCGCACGGCGGAGTTCTGCCCCGATGCGCGCACACAGGTGAATATGAAGGTATATTTGTGTCTTTATTACGCAAACAAAAAAAATGTTTTAAAAGCACATTTCTCACACTGCAATCAAAAATCAAGTTTGTAAGTGAAAATATATAAACTGAGAATAATTTATTTGTTAGTTTTGCTTATGAAACTAGAATTTTTGGTTGAAAAAAAAAAAATCTTTGGTTGGAAAAAAAAAAAAAAAAAAAAAAAAAAAAAGCTTTGAAACCAAAAGCTTTTGTTTTGAAACCAAAAGCTGAGTTGGGTGTAGTGGGCGGGGCATACCCTGCTGAATGTACCAGGAGTTTCTATTGGTCGGTTTGACTTGTCTCTCGGTTCTGCATCATCTAAACACAGACGGGAGGTTACGGTGACATGGAGGTAAGTTGACTGCTCTGTTTTGTCAAAATTATTTTAAATATAGCAGCACATCACTTTGTTCTCATGTTGTTAGTGTCGTGGAGTCTCTTTTTAAGAACGACATGGAGGGCTGCTGTGTTGACATTTAGCCCCACTGTGGGCTAACGTTACATGCACCTGAGGCATCTATGTTAGCTAAGGTTAGCTACACATGTATGACACAATTTAAAAAGAGACTCCACGACACTAACAACATGAGAACAAAGTGAAGTGCTGCTATATTTAAAATAATTTTGACAAAACAGAGCAGTCAACTTACCTCCATGTCACCGTAACCTCCCGTCTGTGTTTAGATGATGCAGATACCGAGAGACAAGTCAAACCGACCAATAGAAACTCCTGGTACATTCAGCAGCGTATGCCCCGCCCACTACACCCAACTCAGCTTTTGGTTTCAAAACCAAAGCTTTTTTTTTCCAACCAAAGATTCTAGTTTCATCAGCAAAACTAACAAATTCTCAGTTTATATATTTTCACTTACAAACTTGATTTTTGATTGCAGTGCGAGAAATTTGCTTTTAAAACATTTTTTTTTGTTTGCGTAATAAAGGCACAAATATACCTTCATAGGTGAGCACACTCCCATCAGCGGACGGAGAGCGCCTCGGAAAATATGTCGCGTCAACCAGCTGAACAGCAGACAACAATATCTGCGTTTTTTTTAAACGCTCCCATGTGGTGAAGATGCAACACTCGCTCCCCTGCGAGTAGCAGCCGGGGTCCAAGTACAGAAAGCAGAAAGCCCCCCCCACAAGCAGCTAAAGTCCAGTCACCACCGGAGGACCGGTTTTGACCCAGCTTGGCTGTCAGAGGGGAAATACTCCCCCTGACTGTACAAGACTGATCTTGGTAAGTAAGTAAGTATATACATACATTACATACATGCATAAATAAATATCAAGAGGCATGGAAATGTTCTTCCAGAAGCCCAGAAATATACACTGCAGTGACAAAATTGTGGATAATTGTCACAAAAAGAAATGGTCCGATGTTTCGTTCAATGTACAGTTCAAATAATTGTTCAGTTGTTATATTGACTGCTGTCATTAAAAGAAACACATGAACACCGTGATTCCTTTAAGTGTTTGTGTCCCCCCCCCCCCAAGCTGTAAACCTAGGGGAAACACTGTAAGTGCATGAACCTTCTTACCATTTCATAATCGGGGCACAGATTTCTCGACTTCAAACTGGAAACCAGTTGGGCTAATGGAGCCATGCTGAAAACACATGGGAGAAAAAAGGAAGGTAACAAAATAGAGTGAGCTACTGAGTGTCTCGCATATAGGGAGTAAAGTACAGGTGTTTTCACTTTGTTAGACGTGTTAGACCCGTTTTCAGGACAGTGGGCGTGTACAGAATGTACTTGATAACATCTCTCTGACATCCACCATCATTACTACAAGCCCTTTTCACAGGAGGTATTTTGCAACCTGCAGTTCTGAAAATAGAACCCGACGCCAAAGAGGTGTGTTAAAGCTGCATTCTCTCTAGTGTCCATCAGGGGGCGACTCCTGGTTGTATAGAAGTCTATGAGAAAATGACTACTTCTCTCTTGATTTATTACCTCAGTAAACATTGTAAACATGAGTTTATGGTCTCAATCTCTAGTTTCAAGTCTTCTTCAATACAGCATGATGTTCATTTAGTACATTATGGTCCATTTAGAGTCACACAGACCATAAAGCAGGGGATGCTTTAGGGCGGGCCTACTGTGATTGACAGGTTGCTACTGCTACTAGAGCCGTATACAGCGTCTCCGCAGTCCTAATATGGTCAGTTCTATCCACTGGTTGCAAAAAGCCAAGACGGCGAACTCAAATGGCAGTCTACAAACCAATCCTATATACAGCCTACGCTATTTTGACATATAGTAGGACAAGCACGGTTTAGTTGCTTTGCCACCTCCAGAAATAGGAATAGATGGATTCATTTATTCACTACTTGTCCTAAAACCCGGGAATGAGTTTGCATTTTTTTTTTTAGTGCTGGGCAACGATTACAATGTTTAATCGCGATTAATCGCATTGTAATGTGCAAAGTTCAATAATGAATTCAAAAGTAGTGTATTGCGCACTTATATTTTAAAAGTACTGCTATATGAACAACAGGGCAATAACATTTGGTTTAAACACATCAGGTTGTTGTTAGCAGCAGTATTCCCTTCACACAGCAGCAGTTCTATCTCTTCACTATCTGTGCTCAGTGTGTGACTCTATGTGAAACGTTCCACTGCTGTGCAACAGGAACACAATGTGTGTCTTGTGTCTTCATGACAGTCAGAGCATGTGAATGCAGCTCTACTGTTCATCAATATAATGCTGTAACTCCGAGGTGATGATGGTGACCCAGCGATGTCCAGTAGTCTCCAGTGAGAGCAGCAGCTGCTGCACGTTGTAACGCCGTCACTTTAGTTGTCCTCTCCTTTCATACAACCCGTGTGTTCTTCTGGTGACGGTGTGTCTTGAGGCTCATACGTGACGTCATTCGTTGAGATCCTAAAGGTGCGTTCACACCAAACGCGACGTGAACGCACCTTGAGAACGTTCCTCAGACCGACATCTTCCACAACACTAACTTGCAGTTTGTCTCCACTTCTCTGTAGCATCTGTTAGCTTGTCTTGCTTTAGTTTATCTCTACTTCTCCCACACGCTGCATCAACGTAGTCTGAAGACTTCCTCCACTGTTTGTTTGGGTGATTTGCTGCATCAACGGTGTGTATTGCATTTAAGTGATACTTCAGACTCTAAGTACTCCGGTAATAAGAAAATTTGCCTTTGCAGTGGTTACAAATAGCTTTGGTTCTATCAACTCCGCCGTCTGGAAGAGATTTATAATGAAAATGTCCATGTAAGAGTTCCCGGTTCATGTGAGCGCTGCAGCAGTCTTAGGCCCACCCCAAATGCTCTCATTGGTTGAGATGCATGATGATGCCCATCCCAAGCCAATCCTGACCAACATCCCGCCCCTCCTGTGACCCATGCTCTGTCTGTCTGTGTATTCAGAGCCAGTGAGCAACGGACTTTCAAAATAATAATAATTTTTAAAAAAAACTGTGTTAACGCGCAATATAATAATTGTCGGCATTAATTAATTAATGCGTTAACGCGATAATAACACGTTAACTTGCCCAGCACTCGTTTTTGTACTTCCTGAGACACAACCGTTTTCACAGGTTAAGTATATTCCCCTGTGATAAGAAACTGAATGAATGTGTAATATCAGCAAAGTGTCCCTCTGATGGTTACATCAACATCCGTGCTCAGGCAGCATGTTGAGGACTTTACCCAGGGTTGCTGGCCCAGCGTGTCACCGTCTCGTCCCCATCATCCTCGAGCAGATCAGCAAATGCTGTTTCCAGGTCTTCTAACTGATGTACACGACGATCCACACACTCATCCAGCGCCTCCTGGACACGGACACACACACACACACGCGCACACACACACTAATTAGTTACAGAACGAGGCACTAAAACTATACTACAAATTCTTCTGTACTGTCATTGTGGTATGACTGCTTATATACAAATCTATAAAGAATACAATACTACTATGTGCTCCTAAAGGTAGCGGTACGAGTATAGATGGTATAAGTTAAGTCAGTCAGGTTGCCAAACCACACCAGTATGTTACCAGTAAGGTTGCTCTCTATATGGTAGCCTGATAGAACCAGACCAGGGCATTTGTGGACATTGCATCATGTTTTATGTTATAGTCTGTTTGATGACACAACCGATGTTGAGAGACCAGCAGACTCCCTCCATTATTAGGTTATGTGTTTGGTCGTGTGTGTGCATGTGTGCGTCCATGCCTGGGTGAGTGTGCACCTCTGTCTTTATCCACTTCAACTGTGCCATCGGTGTGAGAATGCTTAGATAGTCCTGATGACCAGGTGGCCCCTTGCATGGTATCAGTGTGAATGGGTGAATGGCATGTAGTGTAAAAGCGCGTTGAGTGGTCGGAAGACTAGAGAGGCGCTATACAAGTCCAAGTCCATTGATGAAGTGTATTATACGACGACTTTGAGCACATTGCTTGTATAACTTTACATCGTCGCTTGTTTTTTTGTAGCTTGACGTCGCTGGTTGTATTCGTTCAATAACAATACAGAAGTGGTCGTTGCACACATACCTGGTGGAGATCTGCAATCTACTGAGTGCACCTTTCTTATTTGCTCGTGTGTTCAGAGTTATGTGTAATAGTCCTACTGTGTGTGTTAGGTGTGGACTGTATCATCTTTGGTTAGAAACGTGTATAAAACAGTCTGACCTCATCAGCATCAGGGCTGGGTCCTCTGAAGTTGTAGAGCTCCTTTAGGATGTCGTACTCTTCCTTGACACAGACAAGACAGACCGACAACATGGAGCAGAGATCAATTCAAGGTTCCATGTATTGCATTTTAACTACAGAGGGATCTCTGTGTAGCAGGACATAGTTATATATGTGCATACACATTTGTTGTGCTTCAGTCTATCAATGGTATGTTTTTTTTAACTAAATAGGATAAAAAGGTGAAAGACTGGATCTTTACCTGTGTCAAAAATGTGAATTTGGGGCATAATAAGACTATGCTCATCAGCTTGAATTAAATATATTGTATTCTCTTGTAGAGAGCGGGGGCACTGAATCACAATGGCTTTACCAGTGATCAGGTTCACATTGCCACCTCAGAAATAAACCTCTTTTCTAGGTAGACACTTAAATTACATTTCATGACTTGGCATTTTCCATATATGTCCTTGAAGAAAAACATCCCTGTCATGGTTTTCATTTTCGGGGGGGTTAAACTGTTAGTGACAAAATTATATGCTTCTTCTACATAAACTACTAAAAATATGAAAAAACCCAAAGAAATAAAGTATAAAGTTATATTTGTTGTATCTTTGTCATATAATGATATAAGGGTAATATGTGTGCTTATGTTTCCCAATGTCAGGTATCTATTTGATCATTTGACATGACGTTACATTGCTAGTTTTGGCGGTATCTATCACATCAAATTTCTGCTTTGACAGTTCAGGTTCTTTGCTTACAAATTAACAATTATTACACACATTTTAATTTCCCATTTGTTGAGTGAATTCAATCATTAAAGGGTAAATTCGATATTTTTTTTAACCTGTCTAACTTACCAATTGGGACAACAATTTTTGAAATTGGTCCAGTATTGAGCCAGAGCGCTGTAGACAGCAGCCACTCACGGGCTGAAATGTTATCCTATCGGGGCAAGCTGGAACTGGTTATACTCTCCTCCAATCACAAGCATTCGTCCGCCCACTGTAAATTTGTTTTTGCATAGACGGCCAATCAGGACGTGCCTACCCACATACGTGCGGACCCTACAGTATACAAGTCAACACACATCGTTTTTCTCTTCAGTGAACGGTGATTTGCCCACGTCTGCCTGTCATGTCCCGGCCACTTTGCCGGGACGGATCTTCCCGACGCCTCGGCAGGGACATGAATAGAGCGGTGATGAGCAGCAAGCGGATTCAGTTGAGCGCAGAGAGGGTTCAACATAGCAGAGATGACATGTATATGGCAGGGTGCATCTCGACGGAGAGGGCCGTGTTGCCGAGGCCCCACCATGACGTGACGATGAGATATTTAGCCCCCTCCCTCGTTCCTGTTGTTAATAAAGCTGATGTTGTGAATGTGTTGCATGCTGTTGAAGTGTTTTGATTAAAACAAATTACATTTTTCAAGAGTTCAATACTCTACTCTCTCTGGCTTCCCATGACGTCTTGTTGAATTCACCTGAACCAAATATACGTTCCGACTGCCCAGTGTCAAAGCACTCAAACACACACCGGCCGTTTCAGCCCATACCTCCCTCCAGCTTAGACCTGTTGTCCCCAATCAAGACAGACAGAGGGGGTTTGTTCTACATACTTCCTGGTTCCAAAAAAGACGGGGGAGTTAAGACCTTCTTCTTTAAGTGTCTTGCCCAAGGACACATAAATATGGACTAGCGGAGCCGGAGATCGAAACCGCCGATGCTCTGATTGAAGGACAACCCTGCTCTACCACAGTCGCCCTTGGTGTTCCTGATAGCTCCAGGTCACTGTGGTACGCAGAAGTGACTCAGATGATGGTGATCCAGAGGGACAATAGGCACATTGCCCATTATGGGTCGTCCTCTATAGGCTTGGCTCCTGAGAAGGACAGGCTGAGGAGGGCTGGTCTGACCGTACAGGTTGTGCAGATTATCCAGGCGGCTACAGCTGGATGATAGAGGGCTGTCTCATGTCACTGTTAAAGTGCATGCAGTAGCAATTTCTTGCTGCCACAAGGGTCATTGCGACAGACCTTTCGTTGGCCACTCTCTCATGAAAACTCTTGGTGTTGTCCATTAAGACAGCTTTGCTGCTTGCGCTGACCTCAGCTAAGAATATGTGAACTAACCACCCTGTCGGTGCACCCCAGTTGCTTGTTGCTTCGTGGTGACCGTAGTGGGGCTACTCAATACAAATCCCTACATTGTTGACATGAACTTAAGAAGTTCTTTCAGGTTGACGGTTAGACACGAATCCAATACAAAGTCCTTCTCCTCACTCATGAAGCCCTCCACAATCAGGCCCCCTCCTACCTCTCCGACCTGCTCCACCACCACACTCCATCCCGTCGGCTCCGCTCCTCTGATGCCTCCTGTCCCTTCCACTCAGGACCAAGCACCGGACATGGACAGAGCCTTCTCCCGAGCTGCCCCCTCCCTCTGGAACTCCCTCCCCAAACACACTCGAGACTGCACTGACCTCTCCATGTTCAAATCACAAATCAAAACCCACCTAATCAGAACTGCTTTTAATGTGTGACCGATATTATGAGTTTTACAATTTTAGTGTATAGCTTTCTTTTATATGACGATTTTAATGTAAAGTGTCTTTGAGAATTATGAAAAGCGCTCAATAAATAAAATGTATTATTATTATTGTTATTATTATTATACAGATGGATGCCTTTTGTCTTCCACCCCAGACAGGGGAGAGGAAGACATAGTTACATCTGCTTTGTCAAGTTCATGCATTGGCATGTTATTTTGAACATCCCTTTGTGTGCTGCAAGCCTAAAGAGACCCTTCCACTGTGGTCTGCGCACAGAGCAGTGTCGGCAGCTACTGTATGTTCGCTGGGAGAAGGGCCGATGCCTTGCCTGTTCAAACGCTTCTATCTCTTGAACATGTCGGCCTTTTTTTAGGGTCTGTGCTCCTTGGGACAACACAAAAAGGGTGGGTGTTGTGTGTGTGCTGCAGGGTCTCTACCGCTTATCTGTTTGATCCTTCAAGGGTTAGGTCATGGGTCTACTAGTTCAGTTAGGTACTACCTGGGTTGGCTGGGGCCCCCTACTTTTCTGCCGTGGTGGCCTAGTTTATAAAGAAGTAGGTTGGCTGTGGCAAACGAACCTTTAGTCGGTCAGGATGTGTGGGGTTGGGTCGATGTTATGTCGCTCCTAAACCACTCCCTAAAACAGGTGTAGGATGTTGAGCGTTGAGTGTGCTGCCTTATACACTGTGGTGGGTTCGCACATCTTCAGGTAGGCACATCCTGTACATTTTCGAACTTGTGCTTGTGATTAGAAAAGAATATCAGCCATGGAATCCAGTAGAAGACTCCATCTGTGCACTAGGGTTGCAATAATGTAACATTTGTTACTTCAAGGAGTAAAAGTGGTAGGACCGGCAGGGTAAAGCAATCACATCTGCGGTAAGGAGCCACTACAGAACTAGAGGTGTATAAGTGGGATATACCTGTGTGTATAATTCCTTGAAGGGATTCTTACATGAGAAGAAATCCAAATCAATGTCCAAGATGTATGGTTCTGTCTCACTAAGAACTGCAGAAATTCTTTTAACAACATAACTGGTGGACCCTTCATTGTCATCATCATCACCCAAGCTCGACATGTTGCTGCTCTCTGCTGCTTGCTGTAAGTCAGTACATCTAGAGAGGGGCTCAGAGCAGCTGGCCTCCCCAGCTTTAATGCATTCTGTACGGGGTCTCTTGGCAAACCATCCCTCTGTGTCCTCTTCAGTTTGCTTCCCTGAAATGTCCCACAGAAAAGCAGAAAACAGAGTCAAATGGAAATGTTATTTTTCAATGAAAACTTCAAACAATGTTAAATGGGTCAGTTGATTTAATTAATGTTCAACTCAACTAGACTGTGTACTTACGATCTGCATATGATATGGTAAATGCAGTCTGAGCAAATAACCCTGTTAAAAGTGTGCACCCCCCACAGGTGGTAGGGAACAAAACCATTTCTGGTTCGATATCTAAGTAATCCAATTACTAATGCCTCTAACTCTACTAGAGTTAGAGGCATTAGATTAGAGACCCCGACCTGTCGACTTTCCACCTGACCTTAGTGGCTCATTCCACACCTGTAAGTGACCAGTGACTTGGTTGAACAGGATTGACTTTGACCACATTCAGCCGTAGAGGTTTAGAGTTCTCCAACTGCTTCTCCGAAAGATACAGACCGTCACTGAGGAAGTAGTTGTCTGTACTTGTCACCCTGCACAGACAGTAGAGAGCAGAAACACAGAAACAAAGTGAAGTTCATGACAAACCAAAGAAGGACGACAAGAAAAAAAAAAAACTGTTCTACTTTTAAAAGTCCTATACTTCTACTTAGGTGTTTACAATTATTCTGGCTGACAGACCTCAAACCAGGCTAAAGCTGGGTGGAGCTGTGTTGGAGCATGGCACAGTGGCACAGCCTCGGAAACAATTTAGGGTGAATTGTCTTGCCGAATCGGGATCGAACCGCCGACCTTACATTACAGTCATTTAGCAGACGCTTTTATCCAAAGCGACTTACAATTCAGATTCTATCTACACCGTAGGCACAGCTACTGGAGCAATCTTTTTGGGGGGGTTAAGTGTCTTGCTCAAGGACACATCGACATGCGACTAGCGGAGCCGGGGATCGACCCGCCGATCCTCTGATTGAAGGACAGACCTGCTATCCACTTAGCCATAGTCCATAGTCACCCAGTTTATAAATTCCTGCTCTACCTGAGCAGGAATGAAGTCGCTCTCCCTCTACGAGTGCTGTAATTCAAGCTTCTCTGTGCTTTGATTTTGTAGCCAGGCTGGCCAAGCGTGCCTTTTAGTGCATGTGAGCGTGCCCAACTGGCTAGCTCATGTCCGCTGCTTTGCAAGGTGCTCATACTGCGATTACAGCTGATAATGCCGACACGCCTGACGTCGTCGCCGCAGATGTGTAGTGCCCACCCTCCGGTTCCCCCCCAGCTGAACACTGTTAGCTCAGTCAGCACTTTTGTTATGTTTGCGCTGTTAGCACCATTAGCTGCTAGTACCATTAGCTACTAGCCGCCGAGTCAGTAGTCACCATGTTGAGAGCCATGTGGGGGGCAATAGATATGCTCTGAATTTCGTATAGAGGACCTTTTATAAATCAACAGAGGATTTCATACCCACTGGACTGAACGCCACCAAACTGCCCGAGGAGGAGAGGCGAGATGGAAGCTACGCTAGCCCAGCTAGGACCTAAGGCTTCTCCACTACCTAGCCTACTCCAGGCTTTCTGATGTCCGGTCGCAGAAACACAAAATGGAAGAAGGGACTTCTTTAATGATAAGATTCTAACTATTTGAGACAAAATTAATAATCTCCTGCCCTCAACCAGTACAGATGTATCCTCAAATATAGGAACCTTAGAAACATTGTAAACCCAGATAAATATTTAGACGGCTTTTCTCCCATCGACCTTGACCAATTGATTTGAACACCTTCTACGTTTAAACATTCTACCCATCTTTTAGACGCCATCCCGACTAGGCTGCTTAAAGAAGTTTTACCGTTAGTTAGCACCTCTTTACTAGATATGATCAACCTGTCTTTACTAACAGGCCATGTACCACAGTCCTTCAGAGTAGCTGTAATTAAACCTCTTCTTAAGAAGCCCACTCTCGATCCAGAGGTGTTGACCGATCTCTAACCTTGCCTTCCTCTCCAAGTTCCTTGAGAAAGCAGTAGCTAATCAGTTGTGTGACTTTCTACAAAACAATAGTTTATTTGAAGATTTTCAGTCAGAATTTAGAAAACATCATAGCACAGAGACAGCTCTGGTGAAAATAACTAATGACCTTCTAATTGCCTCAAACAAAGGACTTGTCTCTGTTCTTGTCCTGTTAGACGTTAGTGCTGCGTTTCGACACCATTGACCATCACATCCTGTTGTAGAGACTAGAACATTATATTGGCATCAAAGAAACCACACTAAGCTGGTTCAAGTCCTATTTCTCTGATCGATCACAGTTTGTAAACGATGAAGCCTCGATGAACACCAACGTTAGTCATGGAATTCCACAAGGTTCTGTGCTTGGACCAATCTTCTTCTCCTTATATATGCTTCCTTTAGGTAATATTGTCAGAAAACATTCCATAAACTTTCATTGTTATGCAGATGATACTCAATTTAATCTATCAATCAAACCAGATGAAACCAACCAGCTCACTAAACTTCAAGCATATAAGGACATAAAAACCTGGATGACCTGCAACTTCATGTAAATATTCTACTAGGCCCAGAACACCTCCGACATCAGTTATCTAATAATATAGTTACTCTAGATGTTATTGCTCTGCATCCAGCAGCACCGTAAAGAATCTCAGAATTACCTTTGATCAGGATTTGTCTTTTAACTCTCAGATAAAACAAATTTCTAGGACTGCCTTTTTTCACCTACGTAATATTTAATAAATCAGGCACATCCTGTCTCAAAGCGATGCAAAGAAAAAGACTAGATTACTGCAATTCCTTATTTTCAGGCTGCTCTAATAAGTCTCTTAAATCTCTCCAGTTGATCCAGAATGCTGCAGCTCGTGTACTAACAAGAACTAAGAAAAGAGATCATATTACTCCTATATTAGCTTCTCTGCACTGGCTCCCCTTGAAATCTTGAACAGAATTTAAAATCTCTCACCTACAAAGCACTAATTGGTCAGACACCATCATGTCATTAATAAGCTTATAGTACCATATTACCCCACTAGAGAGCTACGCTTCCTAAATTCAGGGTTACTTGTGGTTCCTAGAGTCTTAAAAAGTAGGATGGGAGCCAGAGCCTTCAGTTATCAAGCTCCTCTTCTGTGGAACAAGCTTCCAGATCCAGTCCGGGGGGCAGACACCCTCACCACATTTAAGAGTAGGCTTAAGACTTTCCTCTTTGATAACACTTATAGTTAGGGGCCGGCTCAGGTCTATAGTTAGGGGCCGGCTCAGGTCTATAGTTAGGGGCCGGCTCAGGTCTATAGTTAGGGGCCGGCTCAGGTTTGCCTTGGACCAGCCCCTAGATATGCTGCTGTAGGCCTAGACTGCCGGGGGACTTCCTAGGAGCTCCTCTCCCCTCTTCTTCTGTGTGAATTCATGTCTCATTAATGCTCATTACGAATTTTGCTTCTTCCCCAGAGTCTTTGTGCTTTCTCGCCTCACAGGTTTCCATGGATCGTGGTTAAACCTGCACCATGGTCGTACTTCCTGCCATGGCATCTATTGCACTTCTGTCCATCCTGGGAGAGGGATCACTCCTCTGTTGCTCTCTCCAAGGTCTCTTCCTCTTTTCTCTCCATTAAATGTTTTTTTTTGGGGGAGTTTTTCCTGTACTGGGAAAGAGGATGTCATATGTGTACAGATTGTAAAGCCCTCTGAGGCAAATTTGTGATTTTGGGCTATACAAAATGAATTGAATTAAATGAAATAAGACTCCTGGCTAACCCAGCAGCGGGATGTCGATGACTGTGACCCCATCTCTACAGAGACCTGGCTCCATCGACGGGCGGAGCGCAGAACTCCAGTGGGACGAGAGGAGGTGGATTTAAACACAGTCAAAGTTGATGGACCATGTTTTCCTGATGTTGAATTTTTTATGTTTAACAAGCTGTCCAGAGAATTGTTTTTGTCGCCGCTGTTTACATTAATTATGATGCAAATTCCAAAAATGCACTAAAGGAATGCGCTACGTTTTTTAGTTTTGTCATGTTATTCTTGTGTTGTAAATGAGCTACAACAGCATTTCGTTGAGCATCCCTGTGTTGCAAAATGACAATAAATGATCCTTGAATCTTTGAAGTGTTCTGCTGGGTCTGTTTAGTGCATGTCCTACCTGATGGTGGTGGTGGATGAGTCCCTTCCTACAGCCATCCTGTGCTCGCCCTCTCTGATCTGCTGGGCCCAGTATGGATGCAGCCACACCACACATGACACATGGCCGGCATAGACCATGGGCATTATCCAGTTTTCTATACTCAACTCACTGAAAAAAACCCACAAAGAAAACATACAGTGATTGGTGAAGTCCAACACAATGTAACATTTTGCCTTTAAGAACAGCCATCCATCCATTACCTACACCCACATGTCCTGTGCAGGGTTGCAGGGTACTGGTGCAGTCAGTGTACAACATCTTACACACATCCTACCAGAGTAGACTTCTGCTCTACATGGGAGAATAACCTACACCTCTCTTAATCCTCTACTTCTTGGCCTGCCTTTCGCTTTACGGCTGCTTAATAACCGTTTGAATTTGATATCACCCTTTGATTAACACATTCATTTTACATACAGCATATTTTCTCAATATCGCTTCACATTGTAGGCAAGTTCTGTTTTTTTTTTTTTTTAACCCTCTCTTAAAACACCGGCACGAAGTATGTCAAAACATCACCTGTTGAGTAACATAATGTTAGATTCAGGTGCATATGTTGGTTGGGTGACGGCTTAGCGAAATATAAATTACCTATTTTTTAATAAACCAAATATTGAGCTTCCCATTGGTGTGCTCTTTGTTTGTGAAAAAGTGCAAATGTAGTGTTTGAATATGATGACCTCACATATTTTTGTCCATTAACTGAACTTCAGCCAAACATTTTTTCTCCTTTCCGTGTCATGCGGGAAACTTTACTTCCATTCGTACTATTCATCCATCCTTTCTATGAGACGAAATGTATACAAGGACAACACGAAGAAAGCTTCTAGACATGAACAAATGATCCACTATTCTGTCATTATAGCATCTTTATAGGTGTATAAACATGTATTTTATAAGCAGATTTCTGCACATGCAAGCCAGAGAGAAATGTCTTCCTATCCTAAGACAACACACTTCACATCATCATGCTGCTGCTGTTAGTCCATTGAGCCATTGAGCTGTTAGCTGCCAATCATTGACAGTCACTTGTCTGTCTCCATGAATTCTTATCTGAATTTTGAAACATTCCTCTCCCTCTCCTCCCTCTAAAAATATCAGTCAATTTGAGGATATGATAGCACCCAACTACTTTGGTGAACTAACTCTTTAAAGCTTTCAATCCCCCAGCCATGGCCGTGGTCAGAAATGTTAGCTCTATGAAGTGCAAACAACATGTCACAGAGGTGATAACATGGCCACATCATGGCTGTGATCACTAGGGAGGCACCGACGGCATAATTCTGGACCGAAGTAAAAATTGGGTTGTTAGCTGCTGCCAACGCTGATGTTCTGGTTGTTGTTATTTATTCCCCTTTTGTGGCAGGGAAACAAAGACATCTTCATATTAAAAGAAATAGCTGTTTTAAAGTCATTCAGCATTTCATGACAGTCTTTGAATGAGCACAACAAAATGTATTAAACAACTTTTAATATAACCTCCTTTCACAGGAAAACGCCCTTTAGCTGCTACACTACTCATGAGAAGAACGGCTGGAGAGCTCCTTGCTGCCTCAGCTGTCTGTCTAGACCCACAGGGGACGAGGGTGGCCTGACGTAGTGGGTGCGTTAGGCTTTTTCGTTGTCGTTAACTGTTGGCTCTGTAAACGGGAAACAAACAAAGTGGACTGAGTCACTAGCGCTGAACTTATTTATTTACATTCAAAGCTCCTTTTTGATTTTGGATGAAGTTTGAACGAGGGTGAACATTTTGTTTTTGAAAGGTGTAAAGCCAACATATATGGATTGGAGCAAAATATTTTAGTTTTGAATATGATTACATTTGTCTTTTAATATAATTTGAGTTTTTGACTCGACACAGTCGGCGGCTGTAGCACTCACGGTACCGCACACGTGTGTGTGTCTGTTTAATCATTAAAGGAGACCTATCGTACAAGTTTTTAGGTTCATTGTATTTTATTTTAAATTTCTACTACAACATGTTTGCATGCTGTAACGTTTAAAAAACAGGTCCATGACAGCCAGAAAATCAAAGTGGTGGACAGCAGTGGATTCCACAGAGGTCCGTGTGTGGGGCCACCAAGCTAACGGTGGTTCTGCAGGACCACCAGGAAACGCATCAAGGCTTTGGGACCTCTGTTTACGTAGAAACAGGACCATATTTTGATCAGCTGTTTTTTAAGGTGTTCTTTTCTGACACTTTGGGGGTCTGTAGACACATACTGATGTTTAAAAACCATGAAAAAGTTAATTTGCATAATAGGTGACCTTTAATGAACAGAACAAGCTTATAGAATGGAGAGAAAAGATAAACAGACACACGACACCGAATGTCAACACACAAAAAGAAGATGAATGATTTTTTTTCCATTTGTGTTTTAATTTTCATTCAGAAGGCTGAACTTGATCTGCTGCCACACTGGAGACTGGACTGACCAGACTGAATGAGGGATTCCCCAATCCTGCAAGCACTCACTTCACCGGGAGGAAATTCCGCAGAATGGCTCCCTCTGCACCGGCAGCACTCTCTGACCGTAGTGGTCACGGACGCTCCACGGCTTCTAGTAACACATCCCATCCACAGCCTATGGTCATTGTTTTCGTAATCTTGCACGCTGTAGCTTTACTCCTTCATTTTTCGTTGAACACAACATTGCTCTCGTCATTGATCCATAATACTCCCACATGGCCGACTTTTTCCTTTCACTTTTAGTTATAAACAAACCACATGTGCACACGACACCCATCGTCCTGCCAGAGTCATCCCCAACCAGTGGCTTCTTCTCCAAATCAGCAGCCGGTAACTGTTGCCCCAGACAGCCCGTACATAACCAGCAAAATGTAGCCGTCACAAAATTGACCCAACAGATAAACATCAGCCACTGTCCATCGGCATATACGCTGACATTCATGGGCAGCAAGGTGAACAGCGGTAAACGTTGACACATTGCTGCATCCCAAAACTTGGATTGTAACCGTGTTTGAAACAAAATCCTACCTGAAGAGTTTCTCCTTATCAAACACCGTGTCAGCAGACATGTTGACAGGGATGAGCAGATCAGGATGGGAGTCTAAGTGAATCATCTTGATGTTCTTCAGTGGGAGATGTCTCGACGCAATGGCACGATAAATATGACCCACCACCTAGTGAAAATACAGTCAAAGAAGCAGTTTTCAGATCCTTGACACATTTGTATGCGATGAGTAAACTGGTATAATATCTTAGCTCTTTGAATGCCGTTCATAAATGGACTTTCTAGTCTGTGAAGAACTTCACACAACATGTCATTCACTTTTCAATGTATAAAAGCAACAGCAAAAAGCATGAAACAAATATGTTTATGGTATTTGTTGCATTAGAGATATTTGGGGCCCGAGCATGAACGTGCCAGGGTTGAAAGGTCCCCTACTGATTCTGTAGAGATTATTCATTTTCTGGTCGTCTTTGAGAGGCTGAGGATGCTCCAAAAGTTACACAACTGGCACACGCTTCAGAAGTGGTGAAAATAGCAAGGTCATGCAGTGGATGGGCTCAGGCGTGGCCAGCAGGCTCCATAGCGCCCAATCACACGCTATGATTGGGGCAAAGTTCCTTTGATGAACATATTTCATTTATTTTTGGGAAATTTGGCCTGAAGCAAGTCAGCCATGTTAGATTTTGTCCATTCATTTTCATTAGAGGACTTTAGGATGCACTTTGTACCCATGTTCACACAAGTGATGATTTTTCATGTTGTAAAACACGTATTTCCCCCCCGATCACTTTTAGCCTTTGAACACATTTTTGATGCGTTTGGTAAACTCACTCACATCACAACCTGTGAACATCGTGAGAACATACAGCGATTGGGCTCATGCATGTTTCGGCTTAGTTGGGACAGTTGGAACGCGTATTGCTCTCATGATTTCAGACATATTTCATGTTGGCTCTCATTCCCAAACGGAAGTCGGCCGTTATGAATTTTGTGCTGTTTTCATGTATTTTAAGCAAACTTCTCTAAGGTTTATCAGATTTGTTTCAAATTTGGTTGGTATAACCCTCCGGCTATTGTGACACTAAATTGCAAAGGAATAGTTGACAATGAGGCATAAACACCTTTAAATCAAGCTCTATTTTCCACTTCTCTACCCACTCAAGACCATATTTACTGCCATCCCGGTAATGGAAATCCACCTCCATCAACTTTTTGTGAGTAAATCGTAAATTGGCCCATCCCTCTGAGTGACACAATGTTTAAGAGACGTTTCATTATGTCGTGGGCGATTGTACTACGTTTGTCCTTCTGCGTGTTTTAGTCAGCTGACATCTGACCAGTCTTTCTGTCTTTGCTACAGTAACTGCAGAGCTTGCCATGTGGTGATTGGCTAAAGGGAGAGTGGAAGGCTAAGGGGTTTGGTGACAACAACACTGACATAATAGTGATACAACTGAAAATATTCATGTGAAAAATGCCAAAATGGATGTAAAACAGACAGCACACTTGTTTCATCCTGACAATGTATGTCGCCTTTCAGTAATTGCACGCTCAAAGCCTATACACTACTTAATAATACACCATGGTTTATTAGTGAATGTAATTTGTGTATTAAGAATCTGAAAGTAGCCTCACGAGCAACTAATATTGACAAATGTAGTGAAGTTAAAAGTGTGTGAGGAATTTAGGTTTAGAAGTGTTTGTTAGTAGGATTTATAGCACCCCTAGAGGTGGATGGTAAAATGTCAGGAAGTACGTGGTATGCCACATATGCTTGTAAAACATGTCAAAGTATTTGGAATGTCACAAGAATACTCATCAAATGTATAGTATGTTTACAGTATGTTTACCGTAGAAGTGTTAAGCCATAAAAGACAATCATTGAATGTAGGGCTGGGCGGTATGACCAAAAATGCATATCATGGTATTTTGTAAGATTCTGGTGGTTTCACGGTATATCACGGTATTTTTTTCCCGCGTGAACGCATTAATTAATTAACGCCGGAAATAACCGTCCGGTCAACCGGCCAGCAAGCGGTGAACAGCTGTTTGTGTGGCGTGTCTTCCGTTCCGTCACTTCCTGTTTCCTTCACCTACATTCCCCTGGGTCCTAAGTCCCTCCATGTACAGCTTATTATCACCCTCTATGTACCAACATACATTTATAACAAATACCACACATATTACGGTAATCAGCGTTGCATATGAGTCTGACCAAAATACCTTTTGTTGTTCAGTCTTTGTTCATCCTGCGTCGCTCTTTTCTGTTCTTTAATGCAACGTTACTGGAGCGACAGAGCCTCTCACAGCTGTTAGCAGACTGTTAGCGAGCTTTACCCAGCATGCAGTTCGGCGGGGAAATTTTATAAATGTACAATTATTGTGTCACAAACTGTTGTGTCGTGGTGTTTTGCCCTGTTAAAGAGCGTTAGTTGTGGGTTGTTAATTGTTATTATAAAGTTATGACCATGACTAGGGGTCCCTCTCAATACATTTAAGACAACTAACGGACCGCAACGCTCTTAGCGGCGAACAACATATTTTGCTGCCTGTTGAAGAGCGACAGAAGTTGCCTCGGCTGTGCATGACGGTATATGAAAAATTCATATCATATGGAAAATTAAAACCGGTATACCGCCCAGCCCTAATTGAATGTATTAAACTGTGAAGAATAGCCAAGGGACAGACAGGGATTTTGAGACAGGCATTTCAGGGACCACCATCGCCACAGAAGGAAGTCCAACCGGGGCCCAACAGAGGGAGGGACGCGCAGAAGGAGCGACAGACCAAAAGCCAATAAGTCACGCGAGGGCGGTCAGCTGACTGAAGCCAGGAGGTGGAGTCAGCTGGATTTAAGCCAATTGTAACAGAGACAGACATTTTGTGGATGCTTTACGGACTATGAAAGGAGATTCAAAGGAAGAATTCGTTCAGTTTCTTCACATTTCATCCTGCAGGTATCAAGCTTCCTGGTTGGAACATGTGTGGACTCTTTTCCGCGGATCATATTTCCATCGATGGTGTAAATAATGTAATTTACTTTGCAATTGTTTTAGCTTCTGTAAGATTAAATACTTTTGATCATAATTTGAACAGGCTGAGTTTTTGGCACGGCTGGGAGACGTGCGGCTCCCCCACAGTTTCGAGAGGTTCCTGAACCTAACAAGTGCAATACCTCCCTCTGAGATGTAGAGGACGACAAGATGGAAAGTGGTAATACTCTCAAATAGGGACTGTGCTAGAACCTTCTGAGTCTCTCAGAGTCCTGTGGGAATCACTGGTTTCTTGAGGAGCTGGACACCGACAGCTTTACGTCAATCACACTCACACTGTTAGGGGCGGGGTTTTCTGAAATTGTGTTTAAAGCCACTGAACTACACAATTTCGTAAGACATTTAGACAGTGTATCTTCTACTTGGAGCACATACTCAATTCTCTCTGATAGATAGATAGATAGATAGATATAGAGATATACTAAGGGGCTTTCACTTTGAAAAAAAAACTAGGTCCAGTTCTAGTTTTGTCCTACAATATCAAACACACCAGTACATACCCCTCTCATGAACTCTGAAGCCCTTTACTAAAATAAAGCGGTTAGCGGTTGCTAACAAGTGGCTAAAGGAGACTAGGAAAGGTCATCCCGCTGACTAGTCCACCTTCATAGCCTTGTTGGGTAAACTCCCACTCATGCAACCACTGTTTAGTTTGTTTAGAGCCTAAGATTAGCTTTTTACTTTTACTTCTTGCATTCAAAAGTCATATAAGTGGAAGTCATTTGTGAAGATTATCTTGCCCAACAAAACATGATAGTATCACTAACTATTGCCACAGAGCTGATATTCTGCCATAATCTAGAAGGCGTTTTGTCGAGAGAACTGGTGCAGTTCTAACAAAATATGCCATCCCTGCACCAAACTAAAACAGGTGTAATAGCACCCATTTTGACTTGTTATTGGGTAAACATAGGTTCAATTAATAACCTTATGACGTATGAAGGGCATGCATGAGAAAAGTAATAGCACATATGTCCGAATAAAGTAACGTTTTAATGAAGTTTCTACATTGAAAAACCTGGAAGGAGTTAGATGAGGAGAAATTAATAATTTTTTGTAGAACATTTCGCACCAATAAGCTCCGTGAATATGAGTCAATGAAGCTTCCAGCCTTGCTGATAGCAGGCCAACCGAACAACAAGCAGAAACAAACCTTCATTAAAGCTGCAAGCAGCGATGGTTGCTTGTACTGGCGGAGCGCTGGTTGGCATGGCCAGGTGTTTCCGTGACCATCACATACTCACGCACGAGTTTCTGGAAATGACATATTGCACATTTTTCCACCACTTCCTGTGTGCACTTTGTGGCTCTAGAGAACAGGAGTGGAACATGCATTGTGTTGCTGTGGAGGTGTACACGGTCAATGGACTGGACATGTAAAGTCTTCCCACCACTGTAGTGTTGGACCCCACATTGTACATCAGATGATGTTTGTCACATCACGCTGGTGCCTGGTGCCAGTAGGTGGCACTGTGACTATGCGTCAACACGTCTCAGAACATGACTCTGATCAAACATGTAAAGCATGGGGCAGGTTTGACCTGTACAGTCAACTTACCACAGCTCATTGGTTAATGACAGATCATGTGAATTGGCCACCATGCCAGGGAAAGGCCGTTCTATCAAAGCTCAAACTTGAGAAGAGTTTTCATCTCTAAAGTCTTTAGATCGTACTGAACTCATTCTGAAGTCAGTCTCATACATTCTCTAGGAGGCTGCATTAAAGTGCAGCTATGACATTACAAATGAATTCCAGGTTAACTGTCGATATAAAAAATACCTTCATAATAATGAGCAGTAATGTGGAAGTATGTCGGTACACAGTAGCTGTTACACAGTCGGTAATAAATCAGGGGACGTTCATCAACTACGGAATAGCTAGCTGGGTATGCAACACACAGGAAGACATTCTGCTGACAGTCTCAAGAGACACCGCGTATGTAATGAGGCCAGGCTTACATCGTGGTGGTCCTCCACTATCCACACCGGCAGCTCCTTGTAGCACCTCTTCAGCGACACGCAGCTCATTATTACCCGACAACAGCGCGTGTTTAATCCACGACGTGATTATTACACGTGACTTTAGCTCAGTAACGTCACGTCCGAGCGCCTCCCACTCAAGCACGTCGTTTAGTCGCGAGTTTGATTGAAGAACAAGCTGGAGCCATTAATGACCACCGGAAATAACAGCGAGCACTGTTATTCTGTCCGACTACAAACAGGAGTCAGGATAAAAACATTGGTTCCTAGTGTTTGTAATAAATAGCGGGGACATAGAACTGTAAACAGTAGGTTTATTAAACTTTCCAGCCTGAGAAGCATTACACATGAGAAACAGTTGACTTTCTACACGACTGTGTAAAAACACACCATAAGATACAAACTATAGAAAAGCAGATAAGCATATATTCATTAAAATGAGATGTTTGCTTTTTGTCTTCCTGTATCTGAAGTTATACTTTGTACATGACATGACATACAATGACAACTTCAAAGTGACTCAGTAAGCAATGTGTAGACTTTATTGTATTGTGTGTGGTCCTTAACCCATGGTGAGTCTTTATAATACAGATGGCAGCAACCATGAAACAAGGCTTTTTACCGATAGAGCCTTTATTAATAGTACATTTGAGTCATATCAGTCTTTCAACAATCGATTGTTAGAGGAGAATTGTGCATACCCAGTAGGAGGAATACACACACTGTGGGGTCAGTTCTGCTAGAATTGTGGGTCTCTCTCTTTTCCCGATTTTGTATTCCTCCTTGATTCCTTTCCTCGCCTCGCGTCTTAGTCCCGCCCACGCGAGATGCGAGCGGAGGAGGCAAAAAGAGACCAGAGGAGAGAGGAGTCGAGGCAGCAGATTTAACAAATGAGACATCCTCGAATTAAATAGGTATAGCAGCTGTTCATTGTTTAGTTATAATATTTACATGCTGTACCACCTTGTCATTTGCAAGTGCTTTCATCATTTCAAGTGTTCATTGTAAGAGGAAATGACTGCCAATATCAACAAAAATGGAAAGTTCCATGTAGTAATTAATCATTTTGATTAAACTTTGTAGTATACTGTTTTATATGAACAAACAATTCTCAACTGTAGGCATGTTTTAATATAAATGTATAACAAGCACATAGTGATAAACGATAAAAGGAAACAATCACATTCTACAGAGAAGTGTAAATGGAGATGAAAACCACAGGAGCTGTGTTAGAGTCCAGGGATAACTGCTGGGACAGAAGAGGCGACGGGTCAAACAAACACAGGACTTTGAACCAGGAGGCCGGTTTGTGTCCCAAAGTCACGTTAGTGTTTTCCCTCCTTATGTTACACTGATTCTGTAGTGATGCTAAGCCCAACCATGACCTTTCTCCTCAACATAAGTGGTTTTGTCGCCATCGACTATTTGTTTTTTATCCAGCTAGAAAATACCTCTACTCTTCGTATTACAAATTCAGTTTAATACGGTTCAGTTTTTAATCATTTTATAATAGGTGATAGAGTGTAAGTGACAGGAGGCCATGATCCCACCCAGGATGCTATTAAGTCATTTTTTTGCAATTTATTAACCAGACAGCGAGAACATAAGCACTCTGTGCTGCATGTTGAACACAGGTTCAGGTTCACTGTCCAAACAGAAAGATGCAGTATACAGGTCCCACACACACAGACAGCTAATCAGACAGTCAGGTACCAAGTGAGACGGGAAGAGGGAAGCTGTGGTTCCAGCTGTTGACCATTTGACACATGCCTATCTGGGCAGTCCAGTTTGTGGAACTCTTTCCTAAAGCTAGAACTCGGATGCAGTCCTTCAGTTTGTGGCACCCGTCGTGGTGAGTCAGCTACACTCACATTACATCAATAGGCTTGATTAGCACATTCACAGGGAGAGTAATGATGATAAAATAGTTTATTTTACTGCTCAGTCTTTTTAACAGACAACTGAGCAAAATTCATCTGCCAATGAAGACCATGAGATGCCGTTAAAAGCTAATATGGACCAAGCGTTAAGATGTCAAATACATTCTCACAAATACCGACTGCACTGTCCTGAATGTAATAGAATACTGTGACAGTCTTAAATGGGCTCCATTTCTTTCTTTATTGTAGTGAAAGATGTATCCATGAATGGGACAATAGTGTGCACTGATTATGAGGTCACTTGACCCCCCTCCCAGTGGACTCAAGGATCAAGTATATGAGTTCCATTGGATCTACCCTGCCAACTATCAAACGTGTGACATCAATGACAAAAAGGAAAATGTTTCCAGCTTTTGATGGAACAATAAATCACATTTCTTGTTCCAGCAGTGAGAATCAGCCCCTGGTGTCCACAAGTGTAGACGGGCTGTGATGAGGGGTTCTTCTACACCTGGTATGGGCTGCCAAAGCCAAAATTTCAACAAACTCATCAATTCATCCAGTGACTCATGATTAGTGGCCTCCGAAGGCCGTTAGCAGCAGCCATGGTCGTGCACACAAATGACATCAACTGGCACTCTTTGCGTAACAGTAAGGAGATTCATACATGCAAACTTTATTTTTCTCTACATGGCAAAAACACCATGTTTTTCCTCAAACACAAATTGGTGCATCCTCTTGTCCACAGTGAGGCCGGTTAAAGAGTCACGTTTGAATCATGCATGTTTTCGTGTAATGGTTGTGGTTCGTCCTGTGTACCAAATGAGATGCAGAGCGAAAAAAGACATCAACCCAACTGGACATTTACAGTACAAACATGTTGAGTTTCTACACCCACTCACTCGCTTGAATTGTCACTTTATCTCCAGGATCCGGATCCTTGTAAAGCTCTCTGACTGCTCGTTAGCTACACAGAGACTAAAACAGAGTATTTAACAGTGAAACAGAAGTCAGAGCCAGTTTCAAATGTTTTAGGACTCATCCTGCACATAGGGGCGTTTACAAAAATCAATCCAATCACAGGAGACTTGTGGATCGTAGTAGCCAAAGGAGAAAGGAAGAAATGTGTGCTTGGATGTAAGTGGGCAAAAACGTTTTCATTTCAAGAACTGAATCTGCAAAGTTTCCCTTCCACCTTCTCCTGATCTAACAGGTGACGGAGGTGTGTGTGTGTGTGGCGCTAGAAGTCCTCTGTAGCTCCGTACAGGGCTGATCTCACTTTAACACACTTAACCAAACCCTCGCCATGTGTCTGAAACAAAAACTAAGTAGCATCATGTATTCTGCGATGAATGAATGAATGTCTGAGCTGCATATGAAGACGTCATTCTTTACATCCAAGGAGTGCAGGCAACAGAAGGATCCTGTGACTGTCCCCTCCCACTGGTCAGCCAGCAGCAGAGAGCAGGTTTGGGGTGACGGTGAATACTTTAATGGTCTAACTGGCCGTGGTGCTGCAAACATACCTTCCCAACCCAACACACTCCTCTCCATGTTACAAAAGACATTTATAAAAGAACAAGCCACAGATATTAGAGGACAGTTTGTTTCTACAGGCAAGAGATCAAGACAACAGCAACGAGCTTCTACAGCACAATTCACTGTCTCCTCAATGAGTCGACTTATTCTGCTGTACACATTTCACAGGAACAAAGGAAAGAGCAGCTGGATGGTCAGCATGTGTCCATGCTGGTAGAGTCAGAGCCAAAGGAGCGACCAGAGCTCCGTCCATGTTACAGTGATTCAGTTACAGACACAAGCCTTCCCTCACAGAAACACTGCAGCCATTCAAATGTTCTCCATTCTCTAGTTTAATTTGAAAGACGTGTTAAACAAACAAAAAATAATTACTTACAATATTATCAAAAAACCTAACAAAAAGATAAAGACTATGTGCCAGAGGCAATCTCTGTAGCTTCAAAATTACTATGTAGATGCAATTGGATATGCTTGCACTGCCCACAGCTGCTCATAACTTGTCAAGTTGGTCAGTATGAAAGAACAGTTTTTTAACATATGGTTCAACAGGTGTTTTCTCAGAAGGCCCTCCACACTAACAGCATGTCACACTGTGCCAGACGGCTCCAATCAAACGGGCTGATATCACTTTAGATGGTCGTCTATGGAAGTAAAGACAATCCACTAATCATTTCAATTTCACAAGCAAATAAAACCTACGTTAAAGAAAATGAATCACAAATTATTATTGAATTTAGAACATAAAATATATATGAATTTGTATGCTCTGAGCCAATTTCAAAAACATTTTAGAATTCACAAATTCAGACAGAAGATTCAAAGCTAATAAAGATTGAGATCCAAGAGTTCCAGTCAATCATCTACATCTATTTGCTTGGATTGGATTTGTGAAATATTAAGTGAAACCTTCACACTAGCAGGAATAATCAGCAGAGCCTGGATCTGTGTGACGGACTTCATTCTGTCAGTCATGTGATCCCACGAGACTCTAAAAACAATTACTGTTTTTAAAATAGCAAAACCTGACTTGACTTGAAGAGGGGAATCTAACCCTCTCAGTGTTACAAATGAAGTGAAACCACGAAGTATTGAGTGGTGGTTACGTCTCATGGTTTGGTTTCCAGTGAGAAATTCAATTATTATGGCCATCATTCTTTGCTTCCTTACATTTGAAATGACCGTGTAGAGTGGACACACGTCCATGTGGTACATGTGTATGGGCAGCTGCTGCTGGCTGCTGGATTCTACATTCTATTATGCAGTTCCAATGTCTGATGCTGTAAGAATGAGACTGAACAGACCCTGGTGTTGGAGAGACCATTACCAGCCCATTATGGCTCCAGTTTACCTGCTGTACTGATCTGCTACCTTCTACTGAGAGAACAATAGAAAGAGACACGAAGAAAGATACAGAGAATATAAAACAACGGGGTTTTCTTTTTACAAGAGTCCTTTTGAGGGTTTAACCAACCCTCTCATCTCCTTCTGACACACACTCCTCTCTTCTCGTTTGTGTGTGTGCAGGTGTAGTCAAGTCCATATGTTAACTTCCTACTGGTGTGTGTGTGTGTGTGTGTGTGTGTGTGTGTGTGTGTGTGTGTGTGTGTGTGTGTGTGTGTGTCTACTTGTGTTCTTTAGTAGGAGCAAAGTAGAGCTCCATGGGTTTGTTCACCTTCCAGTACTTCTCGCTGACCAGCTCCAGAGAGAAGGAACCGTTCAGAACCTGTGGACAGAGTTTAGGAACACACATTTGACCAGAACACAGGGCAAAGTACTGCTTAGGGAAGACTGCATCTGCTGTAGTACAGATTGGGAAAATGAAGTCACCAATGACGTAGGGTACATAAGTGTAGGTTTTGCAGTATAGGTCATGCTCCGTGTGCGTGTGCACTCACAGTGAACTGGTTCCCAGCAGTAGGTATGTAGATGGTGTACTGCTTCTCTGAAGCTGCCTCCACATTTACAGGACTGGCCTCTGCGTTTCTTCTCAGCTCCTCCAGAGCCAGTCGCACAGCCAGGTATTTAGACAGGTGGTCCACTGTGGCGTTACCGGATGTCTTGATGTAGCGAGGGACAAACTCCACACTGAAGACACACATGTGTAAATGAGCAGGCTGCCACAGCTGATGAGTACATTGTAACAGTTCACAAAGGTCACAGTTCAGATCAGATCACAGTTTGGACTCATTGATTGGATCAGCTGGGAAAAAAGGTATTGATTATTAAAGATAGTATTACTATTTCCCCCCCCCAAAAAATGTAAACCACCCTGAAGTCAGTGTGAACAACCTAAATGTTAGTCATCTAGAGTGGTTTTTGTATGAAATGGACTTGGACAGACGACCATTTTGGCTAAACACTACATCCACTCACATTCATACACTAGCATGCAAGGTGCCCGCCCACATTCACGATGGCCCCGCCTTCAGGAGCCATTTGGGTTCAGTGTTCAGGACACCTCAACATGCTGGGGATCCAAACGCCAATGTTCAGATTGGAAGACAACTCACTCCTCTGAGCTCAGTAAAAGACTGTTTTTTTAATTGATAAAAAGATCTTTAATTATTATTAGTAGTAGTTTTAATGATGTGTTATGAGCTGCTTAGAGCTCGTCTTAGGAAGTCATAATTCCCTCTCTAATATCTAGTTTCTATTGAAATGTAAACGTCTCCATCAACTGATCGCTCAAAACTACATTCTACAAGATTACATTTGGACACATCATCATAACATTATAATTTATTACTTTGCTCAGTAATTATTTTTGCTGAATAGAGCATGAACGCATCATAATGCAGCTCATTGGAACGTCCTTGCGTTAGCCATTTGCTTCCAACGTTACTAGCTCTCCTCCTGCCCAAACACATTTGTTGTTCACAATGTAGCATCCTCAGGAAGGGGTGGGCGGGTTTATCACAGTGGTCCCATTTGGCCGTGTTGTCTTCACGCACGCACGCACGCGCGCACGCACGCACGCACGCACGCACGCACGCACGCACACACGCACACACGCACACACGCTTTCTATTCCGGTGCAGGTTAGAGCAGCCACACAGTAGATACTGGACTACTACGGCTCAGCTGCATGTGGTGTCCACACAGATAGCCCTTGATCGATCACTGTCACGCTCTCTTTGCTGAGAGCCGTACCATGAAGGCCACATGATTTACCATACAAAGCCACAGTGACACACATTTGGTGTGTGGACTTACACTGAATCTTCTGCAGCCTCCAAACTGTGCACTAAAAACATTTTCTGTGGAACACGTGTTCCTTGTTTACAGAACTCACGGCGACAGCAAATATAAGTGCCATGTTTTAGCTGCTTCACTTTTCACCGTATACTGTAAAGGTTATCTCAGCTTTCGGTTTCTTCAGAGATGTATTTTACATGCGACACAATCAAAAGCCACAATGCGAGCTGTACGTGTGCGACGCTACCTGTTGTGACCGTCATCCTTGTCCATCAGGGTAGGGTGTGGCCTGAACACCAGTTCTATTTCGCTGGCACCACCTTCAATCACAGAGTCTCCGCCCCCGTTCTCCGCAGCGTTGTCCATGTCCAAACCGCTGTCATCACTGGTCTTGGTGCGCTTAATGCTCGGTCCTGCCTCCTTGGAGAAAAGCACAGCATTCTTGCGATGACATAACACACCAGGACAAAGTGTCATCCCATATTCATGTGTGCTTATATTCACATATTTCGCACCAATACAACAAGTGCAAACCAATACAACCTATATTTTCACTGGGCACAAATTACAACTGATTTCTGAGGTTTGACACAAAATGCATCCATAGGACACACACGATGGACAATTGAAACATCATACGTAGCAACATACCTGGTTGCTGTGGACAGAAGCGTTGCTACAGTGGGAGGAGTCTCCGTTGTCCTCCGCTCCGCTCCCGTTCTCCACTGTGTGTCTCTTACCACGCTGCAGTCTGACAGAAACAAATGCACACAGCATGTATTAGAGGGACAACTTTACGTTTGTATTTGCAGTGCTGGTGTGCGTTGAGAGTCCTGTTCACCGTGTCATAGCCTGTATCTTCAGCCCCTCCTCTATGCTGTGGGACAGGGCTTGCTGGTTGTTGTGTTTGCTGATGCGAGCTAAGACTCTCTCTTGGTGGGCTTCGTACTCGTCACGGCTCGGATAAATCTTGCCTGAAATGGGATAAATGAATATAAAAATAAGTTCTGGAATATTTTACACAATGTTTCAGTTCATCCAGGTGTTTTGTGTCATGATTAAACGTTGTTATGAAAGTGAAGTTAATAAATATGAGTTAGTTGGTTTTTTAAAATCATTTTTATAATTTAACCTTTTCATTAGGTCCCAACAAAAGGGTCTGGTGTGTCTCAAATGAGAAATAGCTGCGGAGGCCCCCAAAGTCTCCACATGGCCAAAGTATCCAAAGAAGGTCTTCCAGCGAGGGACTTAGTTTAAAAGCTATCCCATGTCCTACACACACACGGACCCATGTCCTACACACACACACACGGACTCATGTCCTACACACACACACGGACTCATGTCCTACACACACACACACGGACTCATGTCCTACACACACACACACACACACACACACACAGACTCATGTCCTACACACACACACACACAGACTCATGTCCTACACACACACGGACACATGTCCTACACACAGTCTTTGTTCTAGAAGTCTACAGTGGATGGTGTCCTATCTGGACCCGGACCTATATTTGCTAAATTCTTGGGAATTGTTACATTTTGAAGGAGCTTTTCTATTTTTTTTACATGCACCACTTTTGTAGCCTTTACAACCTGCAAACCCACAGACCAATTGCATTTGTTGTAAATCATCTCATGCGATACTACTCAGCCAATCTAATAAGCATTGCGACTCGAGTGAGTGAGAGAAACAGAGCTTTTAATCACGGATGGACTTTCAGATGTTCATTCTTCCCATGGGCAGTTCAAAACCAGTATACCTCATGTGTTCATATGTTGCGTGGCGATTATCAAAAGCAGCACTACAAGACAAAGCACAAGTCTTTTGACTTGAGGTGAAGGCACAGAGGATAAACCATCTAAGCTGCTACTTCCAAAGCAAATCAAAACACACCATTACAAAACTGCTCTTAATGTGTCTTCTATGGTTTTAGTTTTTTTTATGTTTGTAAAGTGTCTTTGAGAATTTGGAAAAGCGCTATATACTGTAAATAAAATGTATTATTATTACTTCCATAAATATAGCATTGAATCATCACGCAAGTTAGACATTTCCTAAAACTGGATCTCCGTGTATTGTAATTGAATACCTGGTTGTATAGGGCGAGATGTGCCAACCAATGACAATACATTTATATTGCTCTAGAAAACTCTAAAGGTCAGGTTGTTTAGCCTACAGAGAGTCGGTCTCCTTTTATTATGGATCCATAACAACCTCAATCAAAGTTGCAAGCAGCGATGAATGGGCCCTTGCACCTCCGTGCATGTCCGGGGTACTGGCGGGTCGGTTGAGCATAAACGAGACTACCGGACATGCACAAGTGAAGACGGTATTTCTTCCTTCCTTCTGTGTCTACTACGTGGTGGCTAGAGAACACACTAATCATAGGCCATTTGGTTTATATCATGTGTTGACCACACCATGTAAATGTCATGTAAATCAAAGGATCTTTGTAACATACAGCCAACTTCCTCCACGAAAACCCAAAAGCTTCGCAATTACCCATTGAGAAGGTTTTCAGATTCTGCTGACCACATTTGAGACGGAGCTGTAGAATTCTCTAGGAGGAGTTTCAAAAGGTTCATTAAAGGAACTTAATCCCAAACCCGGTGAGCTTTATGAGGGCGCTTTGGAGCCCGCTGACTACGCCCGAGACAAAACAAGACATTGCAATTTTCGTGTGCCAATAATTTCAACTTTTAGATCATCCCAAGCCCCTCAAAAATGCAATTGTGCCAGGGACCGTTAGTCCCTCACACTTTCCAGTGTTTCCCCTTCCATTATATGGGGGGGGGATCCCTTGAAGGTCAAGTGAATTTTGTTTAATTTTATTTTCTATATAGCGCCAGATCACAACAGAAGTCATTTAAGGTTCCCTTTCCTATAGAACAGGTCTACACCGTGTTCTTTTATTAAACAAACTAAACAGCCTTCTGTTATTTATCTCATCTTTATCTTACAATACCTGCGTTTTTCAAACGCAGGTATTGTTATATACGCAACACTCACTCTCCTGCAAGTAGCAGCCGGAGTAGCTCTCCTGCTCCGGGTCGAAGTACAGGAAAGAGCCCAAGTGCTGCACGCCCTGCCCATGACAAGCAGCTAAAGTCCAGTCACCACCGGAGGACCGGTTTTGACCCAGCTTGGCTGTCAGAGGGGAAATACTGCCCCTGGCTGTACAAGACTGATCTTGGTAAGTAAGTAAATAAATACATACATTACATGCATGCATAAATAAATATCAAGAGGCTCTGGAGATGTTCTTCCAGAAGCCCAGAAAGATACAGTGCAGTGACAAACGCTGCACACATAGATACACACATCATAAAAACAAATGTTCCGATGTTTAGTTCATCAGAACACACCCCACCCCACCCCACCCCCGGTATCCGCTTCTGTTTTGTGTTGGCTTCTAGTGGTTTGACATTCTTGTGATTACTTACTAATCAGGGCATCAAAGTTAGGGTCCGGACGCAACGACCTCTTGGAGACCAGCTTCTTACGACAGGTAGGACACTCTTTATTACTGGAGACACAGGGAAGACAGACAGACATTAGGAAGCATTCAACAGTGCCAATGCAACAATGCGGACTATTATTAATGCAACACATTCTTCTGGTTCTTGAGGCCAGCTGCTATAATCAAACAACAATATGGATCATCAATGATTGGCAATTAGTATCAGCGGCAAAACAAAGGTTATGAGGGATCTCTAAAAGTGAAATCTGCTCTCTCTCTTTTCCTCTTTTGTGCTGATCTGATCTTTGAGCCGATCGTTGACTCTGATCCGTGATACGATCTGAACCGCGAGCGTTATGATCCGTTGCACCACTACTTGCAAGACTATGACTAACTGATATACATAAACTCTTCTGTAGCATTGAGTCAGCACCCTACTAGAGAGTTTAGAGAGCCGCTGACTATTGAGTGAGTGCATGTCTAGGCTCATGTTGATGACATACAGTGGAATACCATGTTATTTGCAACCACTTAATGGTTGAAGATAGTTGCTACTTTAGAGCCAATATGTGTAGAGATGAGTCGACCTACATAGATTATTTTAAGAATATTTCAATACTCACAGGCCACTATGTATATTAAAAGAGTTATTATTGTGAGTGAGTGAGTGAGTGAGTGAGTGAAGGTGCTTGCACCTCTGTGTCTGTCCACTGCTAAGTTTGCATTCCGCTGAAGCAGACTGCATAATATTCGAGTTGTCCAGTTATGGCTGCATGCTCAAGGACGTCTCATGGTTGTGGTGACTCACTTTCCCACAACAACTTGTACTGCCCGTTTTATACTGCCATTTACCACCAGCTGACTCCCCACTCACGACTCTTAACCGGTGCCTGGCTGCTAGGGATAACACAGCTGAGTGCATCTCTGATTCGCCAGCTGCTACTCTGTGCTCACAATGGGGTGTCTGGCTAACAGAATGGATGCTGTTTTGGCTGATAGCAATCTGAACTAAGGTAGACATGATGCTGCATACCTGCGGCTCACTTTTATTGTTTTGAATGGTGTGTTTGGCTAACTGGTAACAGAACTGCCAGTGCACACACTGCTGTATTACGCCACAACTCATGCAATCTATGCTAAGCTGAAACATGGACTGTGTCTAACCCCTAGAAGGTCTATGGTCAACCCACCATAGTATTACAAAGTCCTGTGGGAAATGGAGTACTTCTAATGTGCATTTGGATATGTACTGATTTTAGACAGACACGACGGACAATGCGTTCTACTGCATGGTAAAACTTACCCAGATCTTAGAGCTGTGATGATACAATCAGCACAGAAGCGGTGCAGACACTCTTTGGTTGTCATCGTGTTCTTCAACATGTCCAGACAGATAGGACACATCAGTTCGCTGTGCAAGGACCTTGGCGACACTGCAATTTCCAGTCCATCTGTTATAGCCTCCTGTGCCAGTATGGAACAGATCAAAATGAAGGTTAGTACACACAAAGATACATCTATGAGGAATGGTAGAAGCTCCGTTGATGATTTTAGGTAACGGTCCTCAAAATCCTATAACCCTAGCAACTGAAGAGTCATCATTTTAGATGTTTATTTACAGATAAAGTGATTAGTGGTTAGGGCTGCACGATTATGGCCAAAATCATAATCACAATTATTTTGATCAATATTGAGATCACGACTATTCATCAATTTTAGGGACATCTTTTTATTGTACTTTCACGTTTAAATGAACAAGAACACTGCTTCCACTTCCATTGTTGTGCTACATTCTGGCTAATGTACAAATTTTTGCATCAGACTGGTCCTTTCCACGACGGAGATTCAGTGAGGTAACGTTAGCTTTGGCCTTAATGCATTTGTCGTACTGTGGTTTGTGGTGATTTTTCAGGTGGTTGAACAAGTTAGTTGTATTGCTATGCGGCGCAGACACAACTCTGACTCACTCTGTGCATATGATTTGTTCTTGGTTAACATCACTTGCCCTAAATCCAAAAAACGTCCAGACAACAGATCATGATCCTTTCAGGGGCTAGCTCCTCACCTTCTGCTCCTGACATTTGATTTAGCTTTCACACGACACCCGTGACCGTCTGCTCTGTTGTCTGTCTCTCTACTCTTCTACTAATAGCGGAGTCTGCCGGGTGCGCGCATGACACCTCCCATCTCGTTCTCCCCCTGGTGGTCGGCTGACTGTTAGTTGAGGAAGCGCTTGATTTGATGTGTAGCAGAGCACGCATTTTAAACGTCAATATCGCTGACGATAATGCTCATTTAATTGTGGCAGCCAAAATCGTGATCGCGATTAAAATTCGATTAATTGTGCAGCCCTATTAGTGGTGTGAAAAAAAAAAAAAAGTGACATTTATTCATGCTAAACTTTAGTATTTCTCAATTCTCAGTGACTTCAACAATAACAAGATCAAGTTATACAAAAATAAGAATGTTAAAAAAATGAAATAAAATTATATTTTTTCGAAACTGTAAACGAAATAACACTGTAAAACTGGTTCTGGTTCTTTTGTCTGTGCTAGTGCTGCTTTTTATCTATCAACATCTGAAATAAAGTTTCATATCCAAATGTAATTTTTTCCCATTCATACTTGAACTTAATTGCAAGTCCTAGTGTGAAGGATTACTGTTCATCAGTATCTTGGTTCTTTGATAAAACTAAACAATTAAAAAAATAGATTTTTGGAAGATTTGAATCAATTCATAATCTTATAAGTATCTCTAATAGTACATAACATCGGCATACATGAATAAAACATTTGTTTTCCCACAGAAATACCTTCCTTAGGTATTTGTATGCCAGAAACACATTTCAACATGGTGTGTGATTGATGAAGGGGATTTTGAAAAGACACGTCTGTGAATGAAGTGAAATCCTATGAATTGTTACCTGTGGGGTTCTCTGGAGCTCATACAAACTCAGCTCCCAGGTCTTACTGAGGGGCTGAACCCCGTTGGTCTGAACTGTCTGAGTCATCACTGCAACACTGAAACACACAAAAAACAAAATCACACATTCTAGTAAATCTAAGACGTAATGATTACCTTTTGTGTCGATTGTATGCAGGGATGCAGCTATAAAACTCCTTTTCAGACCAAGTCCAGTTACTTACATGCGAGTAATTACAGAGTAAATAATAATAATACATAGTTTTTATATAGTTGTATTAACACTATAAACTGAACACAGGTCTGTTGTTGTTGGAAATTGGGCAGTTGTAAGTAGGTGTTGTTGGTATAATGTTGGGATTACAGTTTGACTGAAATATTGTCACCTCTAATCCAGTGTTTTCATGGTTGATTCAAAGACTCTGTCGACTGGCGTTATTGGGACCGTGTCCTTATAGGCTGATTGTTATTGCGTGCCACTGATTTATCGGTCATATGCAGAGCCCCTGGGAAACCCCTTTCCATGCAATGTCTGAACCGTTGGTGTTGCTGTTTAACTGCTATCCCATTACCCAGCATGCTGTTCGACAGTGTACATGTGTGAATGCACACTACCTTTACAAATTGTTAGTGTCACATATTGATGTTTTTCATGGTGTTTAATACTGTTAACGCAAGTTAGTTGTGGGTTAATAATTGTTGTGTTAACCCGACCGTAGTGGTGTTCTTGGCCATTCTACACTATGGCAGTATATAAAAATGAATATCGTAAGGGAAATTATAACCGGCTTTAAGTTTGTAAACAGATTTTTATAGTTTTGTGGTTTTAAAACTTCCACTTACTTGAATTCATCAAGACTTTTCTCCATTTACTACAGCTTAAAACAACTCTAAGTGAAATCCCTGCCATGAAATCCTTAGTACCCAGGACAGATCTTGTTGGGTTCCAATCGCCCCCAGGGTCAGAAAAAATAATTCTCCCAAAACAACAATTAGGACTAGCATCTGTGTTGATTCATCTAAATGCTCAGTTCACTTCAGTTGGCAATTGAAAGAATAGTTTTAGCCTCTTTGTCAATGCCACCTGAGACCGTTGGATGGTGCATTGCTTGAATTCCTGACCAAAATATATTGTCAAGCCAACCAGGGGTAACCCACAATGAGTGCTGGGCCCGATGGGCTATGTCTTACATGCCCACACAAAAGCCTTTAGAAAAGACTAAAAGATGAGCCAAGAAACCTGAATGTCTAAATCTCCTGCTGTAGTTGTGTGGCCATGCTGCCTAATGTGACAGACAAGAGGTGAGAGTGGGGGTAGTCCACATACAATGTTGATGTGAAATGAAACTGATGCAGATACATGCTTAAAATGCATTAAAAAACGGAGACGTGAACCGTATGACGTCTTAACTGCAGCGTGTTCATTCTCTGTAACTACCGTTACCACAATCAGCAATGCATGTAAACAAACCAACAAATCTAAATGTGTTAGAATAATGGACGTAAACTAGATACATGTTCTCAATGATTGTTAGTAGAAACGTCAACGTTACAAGTTATTAGCTAGCACACGACCAATACGTAAACACTTGATTCAGTCCATCTTATTGATACTAGCTGATCAGTTGTAGTTAATAGACAGACCCCGCGCACAGATTGCATGTAAAAAATATATGGGGCACGGCTAATGCTAACTAGCTATAATTGAAGCTAGCTATTCTTCGTTACGATGCCGTTAGAGGCACATAAGCCGAAGACAAAGACTGCACAGGCACAGTTCAATTATGTCCATTTAAATATTACAGGTAATGATACAAAACACTTATAGTTGAAATATTGCGAGGTAATGGTGAATGTAATTTGTGTCTGTAACAGAGGGGACAACAACAACAGAGAAGGACCCGACGCACCAATCTCCTGAGGTGAGCTTTATGCTCGTTTAACCCCATTTCACACGTTTAAACAGACGCAAACTTGTACGCAAACGGACATTGATACCGAATTACAGGCGTAAACTATATATAGTCTTAGCTTGCTTCAAATTGTATTGTTTCTGTACTTACATTTTCAGTTGAGGGTACGAGTCGATCCAGCCAGCGCGTTTCGGCGAAGGCAATATGGCGGATGAATAAGACGCAATGCAGTCTGGGAAATTGAGGCGCTATGCCAACGGGGCCCGGGGGCCCGAATCAAAGACGATGAATCACGTTCATTACGTAGGTAAAAATGTAACCACGAAAACCCACAAAACAGTGTCAAACAGAGCAGCCCGTGCTGGTTGTGTGTCCTAGCCTAAATTCTGAAGGGCAAATAATTTTTTGAAATTAAAATAAGCCAATCATGAAGAAGGGATGGTAGAGAAGAGGGAAGCTGGTTGAGTAGGCTAGTCAACTATCTTTTTTACACGAGTCTCTCCGCCTCACTCTTCTCTTTTACATCAGCCTGTAAAAGTCACTGATTGGAGACTTCACTTATTCATTCATTCAGTGGGCTACTCACGCCGGTCATCTACTGGGATGTAGTGCCATTGTAACCACTAGAGGGCGCTAGAGCTCTGGTTTAGTGATCTAGTGTGGGGCATGCAGATATTCATCACTGGTGTAAGTACTCAGTAGGCTATTGATTTGGAGATTTGCAGGTCAAACGATGTCTAAAATACACAGTGTGAAAGCTGTTTGGAAGTCTGCGTGAAAAAAGCGTTTTTGTTTTTTTAAATTACCTCTTTTTTGATTAATTTTTGTTGAGGAATTTCCTCCCGGCAATATCATGCCATACTACTCCTACAGTCTGTAACGCAACTTGGAATGTTCGAAAGAACCCCAGAACTCTAAATGAAACGAACAAGTCAAAACGTTCAAAGCCTACACATCAAATCTGTTAATAAGCATGAAACCAAAGTGGGGGGTGTAGCGGGCGTGCGCGTGCGTAGGTGTGTGAGCGCGAGCAGGGCCAGAAGGCGTAGCTCCACCAGAAGGGGTGGAGGAAGGAGGCAGAGAGAGAGGGTGAGGAGGGGTGAGGAGGTTAGAGCCCGGGACATGAATGAACCATGTTCGGTAACGGAGGCTTAGCTCTCCCGGTTTGCTCTTTTCTCCTACTACACATCCCGGTTCTCCCGCTAACGAACAACCGGCCCGTTAAGGTAAATAGCTGCTTGTTCTCATCTCAAAGCTGTGTCCATTTGCAAAATGCTTCAAAGTTATTTGATCTGGGTTTGCTCCAGCGGAGAGAAGTTACTCACAAGTGTGTGACTTTGCTTCTGTCCTGCTTCTCGTCTAGCTTTCACCGTAACAACATCACAGGCTCATTAAACCCGGCTAAGATATTAACACAGCAACGACAACGTGTGCGCTGAAGTCCAGTCCCTGGAGTGGGTCGGGTTTCGTGGAAGCATTTCACATAAAGTGTGATTGTGTGTGTGAAGGAAGGCGAACTGTTAACACATGCGGGAACGTAACGGACTGTTCAGTTACAGCTAGTGGTTGTTTGGATGCATGTTGCATGAAGGCTCGTTAAACGGTGGTCTGAGATGTGTTTACATGAGACGACACACACACACACACACACACAGTGAGATGACATCAGCTGTGTACATCATGAATGCTGATTGGTGTACTCTTCCTCCAGATATAATGAACATGACCTGTGTGTGGTTTGTCTGAATAAGCAGACCATAATACCTCGTGGGGGGTTCGATGTCGGGTCTGTCTCTACTGCTGTTTGTTGGTTGTGCATTTAAAGACAGCCACTTTGTTGACCTTCACTAAAAAACAACCAACATGATAGTTTTGCTTCACACACAGTGCTTCACTGTTGGGTTTGCTTTTATCAGAGCTGATCCTCCTTCAAGAGAACATGTTCAGCTGCAGCGGTCTTTGTTGTATGACTTGTGGGCAAGTGTAAAGTGTAAATGAATGAACTGTGAGGAGATTGCCTTCACATCACATGACTGAATGAGCATTTGTCCGCTCTCTTCACTGTGAGCTTCAACCAGCTGACAGACAAACTCTCCGATTGATCTTGTGTCTGACCAGAAGGCCGACCCGGTGTGACTATAACTGCTCAGCTCAGTACAGACAGCCTCTCTGGGGGTCTGGGGGTCTCGTGGTTGAAACTCTAAACAGATGCATTACCAAAGGCTGTGCAAACAATTGTTAGCAGACTCTTTTTGTGAGCAGCATTCACAGTTCTTCTTCTGAACCATAAACACGTGGATGGACTGAACGATAGAGCCCCGGAGAGGAAATGACACATACTTTTCTGTTTAGCACTGTTTTCATCATTCTGGCCAATGAAAGATATAAACACACATACTGTACAGTGAGCAAGAGGGTGGGGCTTCTGGATGTGAGGCTGAGCTGTGGATGAAGTTGACGACACATAAAATTGATGACAACAGTAAAAAACAGTTGGGTAGTGCTCTCATCGACTGGCATGACATCTAAAAGCCTTTGTTGGCAAAGACTTGTGAAAGACATTGTCTTTGCATGTTGTTACACTCAAACATACCACAGCAAGTGAGGCAATGCTTTCTATTGAAATGCTTGAATTTATTCTGTTGGTTCCATCTCTGAGTTTGAAATTACAGTTTTCAATGCACCAATATTTGAGATGGAAATCTAATAACAATGTAGCCATTATATCAGCCATTATAGAAAAAGTATAGGTGTAAAGTGCTAAATGAGGATGTTCTACATCAGTTCTAGTGGAGTGATGTCTACCGGAGCAGAGCAGCATGTAGCTGTCCCTCTGCTTGTGTTGTGATCTGAGTTTCTCTGTGCTTTGTAAAGGCGGTCTGGCCGTGCATGCATGTTAGTGCACGTGAGTCTCTGTGTTGAGCACCACTGGCTAGCTGATCTCCTCTCTCTGCACGGCGCTCTTACAGTGGTTACCGCTGATAACGTCGTCCAGACCAACGGACCCTCTGGTTGCCCTCAGCGTCACACTTTTTCTATCGTTGCCTTTGTTTTGACTGCGTGTGCTATTAGCACCGTTAGCTTCTGGCTGCCAACTCAAGCCGTGGCCATGTTGAGAGCCGTGTGGAGGCATTCCCTCTATCATGAATGTGCTCAGGATTTGGATTGTAGCACCCTTCAAACACATTCAAATCTATAATATGGTGACATGCATCCATGAGTCATCAGCAATCTTTAGACCAGGATAAAGGAGCCACAGTCCTCACCATAGCACCATATCAATGTGTTAATTACACAATAATGACATACTGTGCAGGACATTCTACAGTTGAAAATTAAACATGTCAGGACAAAAAATGACACTGTTTCTATATGACCATAAACAGCAATACTGCTAATATTTGCTTATTATATCGACCTTGCTGATATCTGCTAGTCTGTACTTCATACTTTCAACAATTTTGTGATTGAGCTTCGCAACATTGTTGATAGTTGATTCATAAACAATGTAATAAACGGCCATTTCTATGTTGATTTGTATAATAGATGTGAACACAGTGTAGGTCAGCACTGTCACTTCTCCCAGCATGAGAAGGAATATGGTAGATTTTACAGGTTGTGTTAGAGGAGCTTCCTTCATCCTAACTCACACCACCTCACAGAGGTGCTGCTGCTTCTGGGATTGACCTCCAATCCAACTAACAGGTAATGGTCACTGAACCATAAGAATGCAATGCAGCCCCTACCAGAACATGGAAGTGTCTTTAACTTTTATAGTAAGCAACTATTACTGTCTATTTTTAGCTCTCTAATCATACAGATATCCCCCCACACACACTAAAGACATGTGTGTGTTTATGTGTTGATATGCCAGAGGCTAATCTGACAGAGTCAGGAGCCTGTGTGGACTTGTTTAGGACCCTGTTGAGACAAAACAGCAGATTTGGAGCCTTGGTCTTTTGTGTGTGTGTGTGTGTGTGTGTGTGTGTGTGTGGGTGTGTGTGTGTGTGTGTGTGTTTGTGTTTTGTCGGGTTAAGGGATTCAAATATACCACCTTACTGAGACTAAGCATATCACATCATTCTGATACATTGCAAACCACATCTCCTCTTCCAGCTTGACATTGGGCAGATTTTCCTCAATTTTAGAATTTTATATTAGCTCAAGTTTCACACACACTACAGTTACTTTGAAGTATACCTGGATACGCATATGTTTTAAGAACCTATACAGTTTAATACAGATTGTAGTGATGAACCTCTCCTTGATGTTCTCATTTGGCAAGAAACAGATGTTTGACTGATGACATGATGAACCAACTCTTTGGTATCCAGCATTCATACTTGTGGTTTTCAGTATAGCAGCCGTCCAAAGAAGTGAATTAATCGCTGCAAGACTAATGAATGAATCCTTTCATAGAGCATCGGGTAGTTTCCATAAGACTAACAAACCTGCATAGAGTGTTTAAGTTAACGCTGAATTTATGTTTCACACGGGACACTAACACCTGGTGAAAGTCCCAAAGAAGTATGTTTCCTTCCAAACATAACTGATAATGCAGTTTTGTTGTACAGGTGAGCAGGCTGCAAACACATAGAGCTGTTCTTTGTACACAGACCTTCTCTTCTGCATTAATAATGTGTGAGCTAATAAGCAGCAGATGCATCTTGTGGTTGGTTAGGTACGGTTACTGTAGACAGTCAATTAAAGGGTCAGTTAAACTAAATGCTGATTTATTTTCACATTTCTGAGATATCTATATCCATATATATGGACAGATATATAGATATCAGCACATCCCCCCTTACACATGTGGGTCACAGAGTGCAATGATCCATGTTTATGTGTGTGTGTGTGTGTGTGTGTGTGTGTGTGTGTGGTGTGTGTCTGCCAGGACAGAAGTGAAGGGAGGTTGGAGCAGCGTAACATCCGTGTACAATCACACAGCTCTGGAGGTCAGAATGTCAGACAGACAAGCAACAAGGTACTGTAATCGCACTCATACCCTGGCACACCTTTCATCTGTTTCCTTCTCTCACTTTTGACATGTAATGTAAATGTAATTTGTGTTTGACTGTAGAATATATGAGACTCTTCATCTGTGCAGACAGAGCCAGTTTAACCTTGTGTTTCCTCTCAAAGCACACTCTGTCATGTCGTACCTCTCCCTCGTGGAGACCACACGCCACACCAGGGTGCTTCTAATGCCTGTTGTATATTTTCTCCCAGGAGGTGTTTCAGTGGTGGGGAGAGTGGTCCAGTTGGTCCTCTTGTTCCAGGAGTTGTGGAGGAGGAGTGAGGAGTCAGGAGAGACACTGTCTGATACAGAGGTGTGTGTGTGTGTGTGTGTGTGTGTGTGTGTGTGCGCGCGCGCGCGCATATAAAGAGGGAGAATGACTTCTATATTACTCTTCTCTCTGAATGTTGTGGTTTGTACAGTGAGGGCCGCAAGGGAAACCTAAAGTCAGGGTGCATGTGAATGTGACCGACTCATTTAAGCCCCGTGGCAGCTCAAACAGGCCCATGTTGGAGGCATTATATGTTGGGGGGGGGGGGGGGGGGCAACATGTTTCCTTTGTTACTATCTGCCTTTGTCTTTTGTTATTTACCCCTTGAAAAGGGTTCAGCTTTTGTGTGCAATGCCACTACCAAACATATTGTCAGATGTGAGCGATGTGGAGTTTGGTCTTTTGCTTTAAATCAAGAGGCCGTCATGAATCCTCTGAAAGCTTGTCGGGACAGCTGCTCCACCTGAGGCTGTGATTTACAGCCATGTTACAACAGCCGAGGTTTGTTGTAAGACAAAGATCACTGTATCTCTCGGGGCTTACTGCTGTTATTAAACAGTTACTGCATATATCTGGCAAGGTTTTATGAAATAAACACACAGCTACACCATTTTATTGATAACACATTATCATTTTCCCACCAAACAATATAGTTTTAATCATTTAATTTTTCTTCTGTTGGGGCCAAAACTGTTTGCTCTGTGAATTATGCTCTTTTTGTCTCTGTTCAAATATAAATGATTGAAGGAAAGAAGACAAATATTAATATATAGATGACTCTAAACTTTTGATCGGTGTATCTACTACCATCAGCAACTGTTATGCTCACTTCCTGCTCACTTTTGTCAGTTATTTCATTTTGTCACAGTGTAGAACACTCAGCACTTACACACAAATTAAATCGCTAGAAATGAAGTTCTCATTTCTGCACCTCTGGCTCCCATTTGTAGCCCAATGATAGTTTTTTACTTCTGGCGATTGCATTCACGGTTCCAAAGTCATATAAGTGGTGTTCATTTGTGATGATTATCTTGCTAAAGACGTGTGAAAAATCCCATTGGCAACCAGTGTGATGCTAAATATCAGGGTTAGCCTACAACATCTGTCATCCCTGCACCACAGCGTAGCCTCCTCCGGACCGCTCTGGTCCAGTTGGATGATCAGGTCTGAATACGGTGAGCGGACCACATAGTCTGTTTAACGGCCCCGGCTTTGTTCAACTTCTCTCTCATTCATGTAGGCACGTCTCCTTTGTTTTTGTCTTTTAATCTTACTCCTCTATCTGCTCCATCTCTTCCAAATACTAATCCATGCTCAGACCATCTATTCTCACAATTCATAACAAAATCTGATATTATAACCAGAAGTGCAACTGCTTCGCATTGAGAAGAATAATGCCCCTTCGCTGTAAAATATCATGATCAAATATATCATGGACTGAAGTCAGCTATTGCTCTTATAAAACGGTCATCAAATATTGCCATATAAAAGTTCCATTTTAAATGTATTAATAATAATGTTAAATAGGCCCTCTTGTGCTGGCTGCCTGCTGTAGAATGGCAGTTACTATGGAACTTACATTAGCTGCTAACATATATCTTTTTCATCACGGGCTAGCGTTTAATTGATTTCATAATTTGGCTCTTTATTTACATTAATGGTATGTGTCCCGTGTCAGTAGGATGACTTTGATAAGTGCTTGTGGAGGTGTGTTGCTTGGGGTGGCGACCATGTTACCCCACTGTCTCGGGTCCCTGAGCTTCAGTTGTCGATAGATATGGAGAGAGGTGTCAACTTGTGTTAGATCCTGACCCAGCCGGTCACCATGTTAGGAAATGTAAATCATTATCAAGTTACGCTGCATGACATCATTAATATGAAACTGGACTTAACGTACGCTCATTATTTTTGTTTTCACACATCTCTGCCAACTACAGCTGTGTAGCTGTGCCTCTTATAACACTACAGTGTTATAAGAGGCAGTCAAAATGGGGGGAATGGAATAGCAATTTGATGTTAACATGAGCCCTAAAATAGCACTTTACCGTCTCTCCTCAATAAACAGGACCTCAGCCGCACCACTCCACCCACCCCGGTGCAAGTGGGTTTGTTTGGAGCCATTTGGCTTTGTGCTCTCAGGAAAATAGAGCCCAACATTTTAAGAATGAAAGATACAATTTTATGTTAAAAAGAATCAACGACTTGGATATTTGATGAGTCATTCATGTCTTGTACACAGTGTATGTAAAGACGTACAGGAAACAACACATGGTGGAAGAGTGACTAGAGACATGGCCATACACAAAGGGAAGTTAGGTAGCGGTGATAGAATGTGTGTGTTTGTAGCCATCTCGTTACCTTTGACCTCCCCCTGTCAGACTTGCGGAAATGTCTGTCAACTGAGATTAACGCCACTCTGCCCTCACTGCTGGCCTCCTTCCTCCTTCTTTTCCTGTCTTTGTTATTCTCCTTCCCATTTTCTCCTCTCATGTCTGCCGCTTTTATTCCTCTTTATTTTTACCCATTTCTCTCCTCTTCACTTCTTTTTTTCCACACTCTTCTCTTCTTCTACTACCCTAACCCATTCACGTCTTCCTCTCCTGCTTTTTTCCCCCTCTTCCTCTCCTGCCCTACACTCATCACCTTTTACCAATTAGACGTGACACTCTCACACAGTGACCTCTCGCTCACCTCTTCCTGGAGTCTCTTCTACTTTAACGTCTTAACAGTGTAGGAGGATGGACTGACGAAAGAGAGACACAGATGGATAGATGGTGGAGGTGTGTGTGTGGGGGGGAGTGCAGTTAACATGGTAATGAAAGACAGGCATTAACTCCTGTAGGTCCTTCTCCGCACACACACACACACACACACACAGACAGAATTGGCATTATGTTAACCATAAACTACAGCGTTCTTAGACAGATTTGTCTTGGTACATCTGTTGCAAACACATCTTACTTGTTGCGACATTTTGTAAACTTGTGAAGTTCTGAGACCCTTAAGATGTGTTGCCATCAGCTGCTTTAAAGTGAATTAAGAGGTCCTTTCTATTTTACTGTCAAAAAACACATTTGAGTAGTTATTGTTCCTCAGAGCTAGCTATTGTTGATCAGATGTTTCCTCTGAAGACTTGAATGTACGACCCGCAAGTAGTCACACAACCACAATAGAACACTAAACACAGCGAGCCGGTCAGCAGGCCCATGGCACCTCAACTACATTATCATGTTACCTTTCATCATTCATTTGTTAATAAAAGTACTCCAGAGTTAGTTATGTTGAAGTTTTTATCGAAAGCCACTTACAATAAGTGCATTCAGCCAAGAATCATGCAAGTGCATCAACTTCTTATGTTGAACTGCTTCAACTGATACATGTAGAACTAATAAGACATAGAGAAAGAAACGCCCACTCATAGTGAGGGAGGAGCAAGCTGGTTGGCAGTAGCACAGCGCAGCGGACCGATTGGGATGTATGGTTTGACCATATCTGGAATGTAGGTGTTATGGGTGTAGTAAGGACCAGGGAGCAGTACGACAAACACCAGGAATAGTTTGACTTGAACTCTTTATTTTCTTCGACACAAACGACAGGAAGAATATTCTCAGGAAAACAGCAACAGGTTCTCGTGGTCAAGGGCAGAAGGCTGAGCGAGTTACCAGGGCAGAGGCAAGGCGAGGTAGTCCAAAACAGGCAGGGTCGGATCCAAGGCCGCAGAGTCAGAATCCCCACCCGGGTTCAGGTGGTAGGGTTTCTTGGTCCCGGAGGGAGGTCTCTCATAGTCCGCACCAGGTACCTGCTGGGTGTCCCTGGCAGTTGTCTGGGTCCTAGACGGTTGTTCTGGGTGCTGCCGATGAAATCTGGCGATGAGTTGAGGGTCGCAGATGTTCCGAGCCGGAACCAATTGCCTCTCCTCCGGACCGTATCCCTCCCAGTTGACCAGGTATTGAAGCCCTCGCCCCCAGCGGCGGGAGCGCAGCAGGCGTTGAACCGAGTAAACCGGACCTCCTTCGATGAGGCGGAGGAGGTGGAGGAGGAGGCGGAGCAGCCGGCACCAAAGGACTGTCCCGGACCGGTTTGACCTTGGATACATGGAACGTGGGGTGAATGCGCATGGATCTGGGGAGCTTGAGCCTTACTGCCGCCGGGTTGATGGTCCTCTCAATTTCGAACAGCCCGATGAACCTTGGGCCCAGCTTTTTAGACTCCACCCGCAAAGGTAGGTCCCTGGTTGACAACCACACCCTCTGACCCACCTGGTAGATAGGGGCTGGAGTGCGGTGTCGGTTAGCCGCTGTAGCAGCGCGGTCTGCAGACCGGAGCAGGGTTGCTCGGGCCCTAGCCCAGGTCTGGCGGCAGCGGCGGAGGAATGTCTGGACAGATGGGCAGGAAACCTCCTTTTCCAATGTAGGGAACAGAGGTGGCTGGAACCCATAAGCACACTGAAAAGGTGACAAGCCTGTTGCGGAGCTGGTCAGGGTGTTATGGGCGTACTCCACCCACATCAACTGGCGGGACCAGGAGGCAGGATTCCGGGAGACCATGCAGCGAAGGGCTGTTTCCATCTCCTGATTCTTCCTCTCCGTCTGACCGTTGGACTGAGGGTGAAACCCCAAGGACAGACTGACAGTGGCCCCCAGCAAAGTGCAGAATTCCCTCCAAAAGATGGAGGTGAACTGAGGACCTCGGTCGGAGACAACGTCGACTGAAGTTCCATGCAGGCGGAAGATATGCAGGGAGATGAGTTCTGCCGTCTCCTTAGCAGATGGGAGTTTGGGAAGAGGAATGAAATGGGCCAGCTTGCTGAATCTGTCGACCACTGTCAGAATGACGGTGTGGCCCTCAGATGATGGTAGTCCGGTGACAAAGTCCAAGGAGATGTGAGACCACGGACGATGAGGCACTGGGAGAGGCTGCAGGAGGCCGGCCGGAGCCTGGTGGTAAGGTTTATGTTGGTTGCACACTGGGCAAGCGTTGACGAATTCCCTGGTGTCCTTGTTGAGCGAGACCCACCAGAAGCGCTGCCTCAGGACGTCCTG